TGTTTTCGGTAAACTTAAACAAAAAAAGTAACAATCAAATAATAATACACGTTGAATATATCAATGAATAGAATTATAGAATCGTATGTTAACAAAGTTAAAGTTGAAAGTATAGTTTTTTTTTTTTAAAAATGAGGAAGCATATGTTACATAAGTAGCTTAAGTTGGTTCTATGATGATAATTAATCGTAATTTTAAAAGTTTGAATCTCACTACTCACTAAGATACCGAGTACTAAACAAAGTTAGAGTAACAAGTGTCTTTCTGATGCATGGGGAAGTAACCAAGGCTCATAATCATAATTGTATATTTGCATAATTTTAGGCTGTTGTATTAGTAGTTTAGTACCATACTGGCATACTACCATGACAATAAGGTTATCCACATGAAATTTATCAGTTTTAGATGATCAAATTTGGACTGATATTATTTATGATCAAAAACTTATAAAAAGATTACTTCTTATTTTGCAAGTTTTTTTTTCTTTACAAATAAACAACAACATTTCATGTATTCTAGTGGTAAGGATTGCACATTTCAACTGGGGTTCAAGAGTTCAATCTAATTAATATCACTTTAAGGGTGGAGATTTCTTACTTATTCCCCTGCTCAAAATATATGAGTTACAAATATCGGGTCGAAAAAAAGGCGAGGATCGAGATATGATCAAGGTGATTTAAGGACAAAAACAAAGGGACCAAAATTCCTTGATCGAGTCCAAACCCAATCCAATTGTTTTACTTCGTATATTTTGCACACCTCTACACAAAAAAAAGAAGGGTCAAGCTGCCATCCTTTGAATCTTACGGGTCATGTACCTCTTTGCGTGATTATAGAGAATATTGGGCCTGATATTGAGCTACAAGTCACGGCCCACTAATGCTTCAAATGACAGCCCTTCAAGTTTGATTGTATCCAGTCCAATTTGAGCTGAATTAGCAACTAGATGGCAAAATTAACAAGGAATACTGTGTTTAGCATCACTTTATCTTAAAATCATTCCGAATAAGGTCTGTTTTTGTACACCTATTATTCAATTATTTATGGGAAATTTTTTTCAGAAAGAAATTCTAATAGAATAAGCTTGGGAAAAAAAGAAGTTTATTAAGCATAAAGGGTAAATAAATTCAGATATATATTTATAAATTTTCATGTCCGAATTTTTTTTTTAAAAAAAAATAGGGAAATTCTCTTTGGTATACCTCTAATAATAAACATTCTTAGTGGTAAAATGTAAAAAAAGTTAATATCCTTAGTAAACTATGTTTTAAAAAGTTAAGTCAATGGTAACCTTAATCAATGTAATTAGGCATTTCTTAACCATGGTTAACCATTCTAAGTAAAAAAAGTTGTGATGCCTAAAATACCCCCATTCTAAAATTAATTAAAAAAATAAAAAATAAAAATCACCACCCTGCCACCACCTTCCCCACCATCCTGCCACCATTCCCTCTCCCCCTCCCCCTCCTCTGGTCGCAGCTCCCCTCCCCCAGGCCCTATTCCCTAACTTTCCCATTCCCGCCGGCAACCTTTATCCCCTACCCCGACACCCCAAGTACCCAACCCCGACACCCAACCCCGATTACCCAACCCCCACCCCGACACCCCGAGCACCCAACCCCTTCAGACCACCCTTCCCCATCTTCTCTCCTTTCTCGCACCTCACCACCATTGAAAACGATGAAAAAAATCGAACTAAATTTGTGAATTTCTGGTAATCGAAACCCTAATTCCTCACAATTGAATAAGAAATTATGTGAATTACAGGTAATTGAAATTAATTTGATGTTTGTTGAAGCAAAAGGTGTCGCCAGTGGGGATTTAGGGTTTGGGGTTTGTCGTTTCGGGAAAGGGTGTGGGTGGGGGCTGGTGGTGTCGAGGGTAGGGGAAAGGGGAAGGGGGATGAAGTCGGCGGTAGAGGAGGAGGCTGTGCGCCGGTTGGTAAGGGGGAAAGGGACGTCGGCGGTTTTCAGGCAGTGGGGGAGGGGGGCTGCGTGCAGGGGAGGGATAGAGGTGGTGGTGGCGGGGTGGTTCTTAACCATGGTTAACTATAGTTACGCTTAAAATGCTAATTATCTTGCTAAATGTTACCATTGAATTAACTTTTTAAAACATAGTTTACCAAGGATATTAACCTTTTTACATTTTACCACTGAGAATGTTTATTATTAGAGGTCTACCAAAGAGAATTTCCCAAAGTTCATTTTTTAAAAAAATAAATTAAGTCTGAAATTTAAATAAATTCAATTGCATGAAAATTGGGCAAACACACCTCCACTATATTAAAATTTTAATTTCTTAGCGTATTCGAACCTAATTAGAAAATGATGAATAAATCCAACTAATACAAAGTATAACTAACTACTACATAACGATTAGTTGCCAAATAAGATCATTGTGTATTCAACTAGTAAAACACGTCTTCTTAATTTACTCCGTGTCAAAACGTTTATTAGAAAAAAGAAATATTCCGATTAAATCGAATGTAACCCCTATGCCCTATCCATGGCTTCCCTTACTTGTCATATAGCACCCATAAAACAATAACTGGTCCAAGATACAGCAATTTTTTGTTGGCAATCCCACAAATCTTTACGGCCATTCCTTCTTGTCGTGGAAATCATGTTCTTATAACGTGTACTTCTTTCTTTTTTATTTATCTTTTAATTTGCATTCATTTCATATGTAATTTGTACACTACTTTTCTCCCCTTTCTTTTTTTGAAAAGATGCCATGTGACATTCAAGAAAGTTAAATCTTTTGATTTCCTTTGCTTCGAAAATACTCTCTTCATTCTCTAATACTTATAACTCCAACGTGTTAAAATCTTAAAGGAACAAATAATATGGAGCATTAGAGTATTCTTTATATTCTCTAAAGATTGTTTCGTAGACTTAAAATTGACATATATACAATTAAAACAAAATCTCAAGTGACTATTATATAGATTACAAAGATATTATAATAATGCGGACAAAAAGTTTTTATAATTTCACTTAATTAAGAAAATAAATTGGGATAATGTTTAAGATATTAAATTAAAGGAATATGTATATAATACTCAAATATTTATGCATTTTGCTTTGTCTATAAAATTGTATGGTGCATAGATTTTTATGATTGGGTTGACTTTGATTGTTCAGAGGATTGCTTTGCTTTAGAGTACAGACCAATTTTTGCACACTGTCATGTGGCAAGCTTTTACAGAAGTATATTTTTCGTACCCCCAATAATATTCTTCTACTTGTACTCGTATGTAACTAATAGTTTAGTCAACAACTCACTATAATTAATTATCGAATAATAATATAATTACATTCATTTCTATAATTGATCGAGAGGAATAATGTTAGGTGTTTTAAGGTTTACTTTATAAAAATAATTGGTTTTCTTTGCTGAAAATTAATTTTAATTTGGAGGTATAAATAAAAGTGCACTAAAATCAAATTAAAGCTAAGCTTCTTGTAAGATAAGAATAATTTCTGAAGGAATATTGCCAAGAAAGTTACAATCCCATGCTTTACTTTGAATATTTGCTTTTGTAAAAGTTTTGAAATGAAATGCATTTTTTTTTTTTTTGTAGTACACTTTACTTCTAGAAAAAATACATAGAGAAAATTGTTCCAATTTGATTCCAATATTTTTCTAGATTATTAAATTTAAAAAATTATATACTAAGGGTTTGTTCTCTTACGTTGAAATTCAGTTAAATTCAGTTCAACTCAGTTCAGTTCAGCTCAGCTCCTAATTTCCTTCTCTTATAAAATATTATTTTCAGTTCAGTTCAATTCAGTTCAGTTCAGCTCAGTTCAGTTCAGTTCAGTTCAGTTCAGCTGAGTTCAGTCAATGAGAACAGACCCTAAACCTAAATCTATAATATGTAACATATACTCGCATAGTAATCAAATATGATCCAAAATTGACTACTGATACTCCCCTTATCTTTCATACATGTTGTTTAACTATTAACTTTAGCTTATTTTATTGACTTAAACAATCTTATGATAAAAGATAGAAGTGCCAAATACTAACCGATTTGATCTAATATGAACATAACTCGATCCATATTTCAACTTAGGGCCTGTTCTCATACGTTGAAATTCAGTTCAGAATCAGCTCCTAATTTCCTTCTCTTATAAAATATTCATTTCAGCTAAGTTCGGTTCAGTTCAGTTCAGCTGAGTTCAGTCAATGAGAACAGACCCTTATATTGTTATACAGACATGATACCTTAGCACAAGTCAAATTGAAACGGAACTAAACTCGACCCGATTCAAACAAATAATAACCCAACTTTGCACATCTAAATTTATGGTTATACTTGTATTTATTTTTGTTGCATGCGTAACAAAGTAAGGTTACCAAGGAAGAAGAAAAGAGATCAAATAGCTAGTTACTTAGATTAGAATATAGTTAGATTATAGACATTTCCCAAAGGAGCACGCATTCTTTACTGTTTTGTGCATAATGTGATGTAATGAGGGACCGATCATAGTATAGGAACTTAGAAAGACCAAGTTGGAAGATAGAGACAATCAATATATGCTAATTCATTTTCCCTTAAGTCATTATCTGATAATAAAGTCGGATGAAAAGAAGTAAGAAGTGAAGATCACTATATTATGCATGCCTTTCATTTTCTATCTTTCATGATGTGTTAAACAATGCAAACTATCTAGCTAAATAAATTCCTTTGACAAAGCAAGATTGTGATCGATTATATACTCTTATGTACGTTTATGGTAAGATCGCGTCAAGTGCATCAGGGCCATAACTGTATAATTGAAGGTTTATAACATTTAATTTCCAAGACTGTTAGGTTAATTTCATGTACTTCTTCGACTAATTTAAGTTGATACTCCGCATTAGCTTATTTAAACAATAATCAGATGAGATCAAATCATGATCTTGTCTTTTTATTTGGTTTTATTTTAGTTACAAATATTTTATTTATGAAAAGTAGTATATATTAATATGAATCTAATACTCTCATATAATACTATAATTTTATTTTATGGATTAGTATTTAGTATACAAATATGGTTAAAGTTTGGTCAAATTTGAAACTCGTATCAATAAAATTCAGATCACATTGGAATACAAACTTAACATAGCCTTACACTAACTTTGAAATTGTTTATATACACCCGTAAAACATACTCGTACAGTCGTACTCAACCATTCACAATACTTCTTACACGACCAACTTAAAAACTGCAGTACAAGTGATCTCTTTACAAATACAGTAGTTGCACTTGCACAATGCACACTTGCACTTGTTAGTTGTTACTTTGTTACCTTTTAGGTCTCAGTACCACAAAAACAAGAATTGACAACAAAAAAAAAAAAAGAGAGAGAGAGAGTTAGAAACAAACCAAAAAGATAAGAAAATCAAATAATTGTATTTTCTCCGATAAATGAAGAAAAACTCCAACAATAGAAGCAAATTAGTTACCTGTCTTTTTATGCTTCATTCCATGTGGGATGTTCTTATATATCTTCACATCCCTAATCTCTATTTCTAACACCTAATCACATGCTATATAATTTAATTTTAACACCCATTTTACACCAACTAATTTTTATAAAAAAAACAAATTTAAATAAAAATCTAATTAAGAGAAATATCAAGCAACTCAGTCAATTAATCATAAAAAAAAATAATAAATAAAATTAAAAAAAAAAAAACTTGAAATTTATTTCTTCTTGCTTCTATCTTTGCCAGTAGAAAAAATAGAGCCAAACCCAAAAACCTTTCCAGTAGGAACATTAAGAACAGGACTAACATGAATAACACCAGAATTAAACGAAGACCCACCAAAATTCTTCTTCAATGGAGGTTTTTGATGATTACTGAAGCTTGAATTCTTCAAATTACTCTGTTTTTCTTCTTTCGAAATCAATGATCTTTTAGCACTTGTTGAAGACCCTGTTGATTTACTTCTTGATAAAAGAGGTAAAGGACATAATCCTCTTTTATATATACTCCCACAATTCAAACTTTTACTTCTTTTGAATGTCCAAAATGTTGATTTGCTAGAATTGTTGTTGTTGTTGTTGTTGTTGTTGCTCTGTTTTTCCTCTGTTTCCTTTTCGCTTTCGCCGCCGTTGTTCAAAACAGAGGACGGCGGCAATGGCGGCAAGAATGCTGAATACAACGATGAAGATGATGAAGAAGAAGATGGAGAGAATGATTTTGATTTTAAAATTGTGGGTATATTTTTTTTCTTGATTTGAATTGGAAGAATTATCCCATTTGCAAATAATTCATCGGCTAATGTAGGTTCTTGATCAGAGGATTTTCGAGTGACACAAAAGTCGAAATCGTAATCAAGAAGAGATGATTTTAAGGGTTCAATTGGAACAATTTCTGAGTTCTTAAGATCATGAGAGAATGAAATTCTAGGACTCATTCCTCTACTTGAAGGGCTTTCTGTATATAATTCAACCGCCATTTTTAAAATTTTTGTTTTGGTGATGAAGAAAAACAGGGGATTATGTTTGAATGAGGTTTTTTTTTTTTTTGGCTAAAAAATGGAATTTTTTGATATTTGAATTTTTTCCAAGTTTTTGAATTGTATTGGAAAATGTGTTAGTTGGGAAGGAAGAAGATTGGCTATTACCAAGAGTCTAAGGAAGACTTGGACTTTGTAAAATAAATGAAGACTTAGATTTTTTTTTATAGGAGAAGTTAATGACTAGCACGAATAAAGAGAGAAAGTGTTGAAGGAGTTGGTGAAATGAAGATGATTATTGGCTAATAATTTCATTTTTGGTATGAGTAAGGTTTGATTATAGGTGAAGCAAGTGGGGCATACTAGTTGCGGATTTGTGATATAGAGGTAATTTGTACGAGTCATATTGAAAATAATTAATACCCGTCTCCAAAAAAACGACTCATTTGGCCTAATTTTAGTCCAAAAGAATGATCCATTTGTATTAAAACACCCATTAATTTACAATAATATTTGTGCAAAATTAGCTTCCCCATATAAAAATTTGATTTTGCATGTAATTTTATTACTTTCTCTCTCTATTTTTTTTACAAACCCTATGTAAATTTATCTTTTCAATATACTTTCACTTCTTTTTATTTAAGTTTCTTAATACCCGTGCATTTGATGATTAAATGAGCAATAATCAACAAGATGAAAATAATATCATGGGTGTATGGTGCACCCGGGTATACATAATAATCTCTCGAGTCTTCTTTTTTTTTTTTTTTTGGTGTATAGTGAGCTACAAGGGCAGGATGAGAATCGATCTCAGGATCTCCTAAAATCGGGAGGTAAGCTCAAATCACTTGAGCTATCCCTCACTCTCTCTCGAGTCTTATTCTTAGCGATTTATAACTTTGGCGAAACTGAATCTGATTTTATAGAATTCTTGTTAAAGACGAGCTGATAAGTTTGATTTGTCGTACATATTAGTTTAACGAAAAATTATAAAAAATAAAAATAAAATAAAATTGTGAACCTAAAATGTTAAATGGGCTAGCCAAATATAATTATTATTAGAATGTTTGATAGAGCACTTATTTTTAATAAATGTCCATTCTATCTTTTCTTAAACTAATCTTTAGAAAATAAAAGTTGAAGCAAGTAGGGATGAATTCTTGCACAAATGGGCCATGCATAGTGATTTGCGAAAAATGAGTTTCATTAAGTACAACAACTTACAAACAATTTCAATCAAAATCTCGATCCCTTAATCCAACATATAAATACAAGTTGATTTTTCAAACTCATTTACTAATCTAGTTGAGAGGTGAGCTCCAAGACTTTTTTTTTGGCTCTTTTATGTTGTCAACAACTTGATCATTAATGCACTTTTCGTGTATTATAAGTATAATGATTTGTTTAAGCGTTGGTACACATTGACCCCTATTTTCTTCGACTTATTTAAATACAATTATACGAGTACTTGATATTCATGTTTTACATTAATCAGTAGAAATCAATAGATTTTAAAACAAATACTCCGTATAATAAATAATTACGTCGTAAAATAATTTTAGGTCATCAGATTTAAGCTAAAGGGAGAACAATGTTTACTTCTAAATTAAGCCCAAAAAAAGGAGTTCTGTAAGTTATTATGTTGTTTTTTTCTTTTTTTTTTTTTTTTTTTTTTTTTGAAGAAAGATTAGAAAATCAAATTTGAGGCAACTAATAAGAGGAGCGCATATACGTTAGTAACAATAAATGAAGACTTGAAATGAATGTGATGTCGGTGAATCTTTCATCATTTTACCGTCAAAATATAAATGTGAAGGCTTTGACTAATTTCCTGCCTTGTACGTTACTAAAGTACTAATCTGCCATATCTTCATGTATGAATTATGAACATGGAGTTGTGGAGCCATGGAGTTACTAGAAGAATCAATAAAAAGACGAAGTAGATAATTGCACCACTAAACAGTTTTTCGACAAAAGAAATCGCTTTCATTTTTAGTTTTTTGTGCGGAAAGAACCCTTAACCCAAAGACAGTGATGTAGATATGATTTGCAGATATTTGAGATATTTTAATTTTTCAAGTAAAGAAGTTTGCAATTTAACGTCGTTAATCAATTAATAAAAAATAAATAAAAAAACAATTTCTTTTAATATATTTCTATAGTTCTCTATAGAAAATATACGAGGGTCTAAAAGAGTTGTGTCTAAATTAGAGTTTATCAATAAGTTGACCCTAAACAAACCTAGTCCACAATTTCAAGCTTGAGCCGAGGATAGATTAGCTTGAATTTTTTTAGTACTTCGTATTATATATGGGACAACCAATCTAATTCAAGCCACAATCAAGTTGAGCCTTTTTTGTCGCCTATAGCTGATTTATCAATATACTTATTTCATTTTTTATAGTTGTAACACATATATTTTTTTACAGTATTTAAGAAAAGTAGGGTTCATATGATTTAACACACATTAAAATGAGGTGAGAGGCTTTTAGAAGTATAATTTAGGGCCTGTTATCTTACGTTGAAATTCAGTTCAATTCAGTTCAGTTCTGCTCCTGATTTCCTTCTCTTATAAAATATTCATTTCATTTCAGTTCAGTTCAGCTCAGCTCAATTCAGTTCAGTTCAGCTCAATTCAGTTCAGTTCAGTTTAGCTGAGTACAGTCAATGAGAACAGACCCTTAGTGGACCATGTGATTAAAATGAGAGAAATAGTAAAATTTTGCCCATAAAATAACTTTTCAAGTATTGTAAGTATTATGACATTTCCATTTTAAATAAATATTGCAAGTATTAAAAATGGATGAAGCATATACACTTCCAAATATCTTGTGACGTATTAATAGCAACAGTAATTAGGAGCTCACTATCAACATCCGGCTATGTTTAGGGCAAACTTTTTGGATGTGATATGTGGCCTAATTCACATGTTGAACATATGATTGAAGTAATGCAAATGATCAAAAAGATAATTTTCAAAGAGGACATAATCTTAGTAATTTTGCTTATTGCTACACAAATATGATCCATGTATCACGAGATAGATAAAGAATCAAAAATCGATAAATTCTAATACAAGTACTAATATAAATAAACTCACATTATATTGTCAAGTTATCATGTCGGATCAACTTCGTATACAAGTCGGACTTGAGTTTGCCTGAATTACCCTACAAAGTGTACGATACATAAAAAGAGAGGCATAACAAGTCCAAATAATCCGCTGGCAAAATTGATCGTTGTTGGTTATCTTTGTTTCACTCGTGTTAGGTTGTAATGTCAAATATAATTGTCAATCTCGACATAAAAGAGGAATCCACCAACTTTTGCAGAGTACAGCCATGAAAGTCCAAATTACTAAAAGCAAATTTTTAATTTTTTTTTATTTTTTATTTTTTGAAAAAAAAAAGGAATAAAAAGGGAAACTTTATTATCGGATTGTTACTCCCTATTTAGCTTTATATAATTGCCCGAACATGCCTCGTGATGTAGGGCCTTATTCGGATAATGGACTTTTCCTTAAGATCAATGTCCATCTGTTGGCCATTTGGCCCACTATTTTAATGGCCTATGATTTCGACAAAATGAAATAACCACATAAAGATTACTTTATCCGTTTTATAATAATTGCAACAACAGAGTTTCTACATAGTTTTAAAAAATTTATTAGTTAAGGATTCAGGGCCTATTCACATTTATCGAACTGAGCTGAGTTGAACTGAACTGAACTGAACTAATTGGAGTTGAATTGAGCTGAAATAAACATTTTATGAGAGAGGGAAATTAGGATCTGAACTGAACTGAGCTGAAATGAATATTTTATGAGAGATGGAAATTAGGAGCTGAACTGAACTGAAATTAAGTGAATGTGAATAGGCCCTAAAGGGTGAACTTTATAACACAAATTTAATGTGTTTGGACACACTATGTGGCCGGGGTTACTCGGCTAGTCAGGGATTACGGTTACTCGATCGCCCATGAGTTACTGAGTTAGTCATGGGATACTTGGACGGAGGTTACTTGGTCGACCATGGGTTACTTGGTTAGGGATTACTCTTTACATAGAACATGCGCTAGCCGATTGAGTATCCTAGAATAAATAACCCTTGACATATTGAGTAGGCTCAAAATAAAAAACCCTAAATAATTAAACCCAACAAAAACCCGCTAACCGATTGAGTAAACCCAAAATAAGTAATCCTTGACCGACTAAGGGCCCTATTCTAACTGACTGAAATGAGCTGAACTGAACTTATTAGATTAAAATGAAACGAGTATTTTATAAGAGAAGGAAATTAGGAGCGGAATTGAACTGAACTGAAATGAAATAAACTGAACTTATTAGAGCTTAACTGAACTAAACTGAACTGAAAATAATCGTATGAAAACAGGCCCTAAATAACCCTTACATAAGTAACTCCGACCACACAAAAACACCGTTTTTAAAATACGGAGTATAAAATATAATTAGTGAAAATATATTTAGTTTTTAGTTAGAGAGCTAAATAATAAAATAGTAATTCATCCATATCAATTAGAAAGAAAGTGTTGTAACAAGTTAATACTCCGTATGAAATATGAGTAGAAAATGTTTAAGTGTGTTACAAATAAAAACGAAGGTAAAAAGAATGAGGGAGCCCCATTCATCTTCATGATAAACAAAATTTACTCGAGGCTACGAGAATTGCGATAATTACAAAATTCCTTGTTTAAGTCCTACGAGGCTACGAGTTTTCCGTGGTTTTGGTGCGTTTCATTTTACACCACAAACATGTTGGCTGTTCTAAGTTCACTCGACTATTGTATAGTTACAGCTTTATCAGCATTCATTTTTCGATTTCTATCACAAATACAACATCAAAGATCAAACACATAGTTTCTGTAATTGTGCTTATTGTTTGTCAATGGCATCTTTTCTGACTTCATCTCCCACTTTTTCACTTCCAAATAAGGTAATAATACTCTAATCTAATCTCATAATATATATATATATATTTTTTTTCAGTGTTTTTTGTGTATATGTTTATTGATTTCTTGCGATTTTGAGAAGAAATGATCGATTAAATTTTGGGTTTTTAAAAGTTTCTTTTAATTTTTATCTAGTTGCTGAAAAATTTATAAGCTTGAAATTATAATTATAAACCCTAATTGATGAATCCAATTGTTCCAATAAAGTATAATTGCTTGGTTAGGGTTAGTGACTTAGTGATTGTGATGGTCTAATTTCTGGGTTTACTCATGTTTATGAATTTTGTTGCGGAATTATTTGCTATTGGGAAGGTTTTTCAGAATTTGATTAATTAAGGTTATTCAGGATTTAATTTCCAGAATCAATGGGTTTTAATCTTACCAGTGATAGTTATTCTGGAAATTATACTTAGTGAAACAAACTTTTGCCCAATACCAAACTTTAAACCTTTGCAACTTTAGGTAATTAGTAGCGCGATTATCGTTCGAGTTTGGAAAACATCAATTGATCTTAAATATTTCATAACCAAGCAAGGGAAGAGTTAAGAATGATTAAAATCAAAATGGTTTCCTGTGATTTTTTCCTACTTTTAAATGTACAAATTTTGCCCATAAAGGATTGTAAATGTTTATGAGAAAAATATTTTCACTTATGGATCTTTCTCTAGTGATGGTTCGGCTTTTCTAGGGACTTAAAACTACCTCTTGGTGTTAATTTGGTTATTGTTGATTTTCTACATATCAGATTATATATCACAGTGAGAAAATTCCACTCACTACATTATCTGTATCAACTTCAAGCCCATCTATCGTAAGGAGGGGAAGAGGCTATGGGAAATGCTCAGTATCAAGAGTTACTTCAATTGAAAATGATGTTATTCAAAAGGATGCTCATGGGGTTGATAAAAAGGATGGTATGTCTTCCTACTAGCATGCACTGATAGTTGAATATATACAATAGAGTCCTGTAGATGTTGTTAAATACAAGTATAAGCATGCTGGCACATATGGCTGGAAAAGTGTAGTTTCAAAGTTTATCAGACACTACATTCAAAATTATGTTCTTTATCCTTTTCTTTCATGATTTTATCTTGAAAATGTGTGCTTCTTACAAAGTATGTACAGAGAATAAGACCATAGGTTTGAATTTTGCGGTTACTTATTCAGTTAAGTTCATGATAGCTCTAGCCTGTTAAACCTCAATATTACGGAATTGTGCTTGATTCTTCTTTGTTATTCTTTTCCCCTTTGGGTGATAAGGAAGCGAATTGGTACTTCCCCATTATCATTTCTTTCAAAACTTTGTTTGTCTATCAGCAAATAATTTCCTTTGCTTCAAACTGTGTCATAAACTGATGAAGTGCTTTGTAAATCAAATCGAATCGCCTCTGGTTGCGTAGTTTCTTAAACAGTTTTCTTTGTTGGTGTTGCCTCATCTGTACTGAGTTTGAGCTATTGATACAGATTTTGGAGTAGTTGGCATGCACCATGTTGGCATTCTTTGTGAAAACCTTGAAAGATCACTCGATTTTTACCAGAACATACTAGGTATGTATACTTACTATGCTACCAAGGACACATTTTTTATGTCTCATTTTCTTTTCAATGCTTTAATACACCCATATCTTGGCAGGTCTGGAGATAAATGAGGCTAGGCCACATGACAAGCTCCCCTATAGGGGTGCATGGCTGTGGGTTGGCTCAGAGATGATTCATTTGATGGAGCTTCCAAATCCTGACCCATCAACTGGGAGGCCTGAACATGGTGGTCGTGATCGTCATACTTGTATTGCTATTCGGGATGTGTCTAAGCTTAAGGATATCCTCGACCGAGCAGGTAGATATATATTTTTCCTTTTGGTTCAGGAATGAACTGCTTAAGTAATGTTTTAGACTTTTAGCCTCTGCCATGATCAAGGGAAATAATTTTACTAATTGTAACTGGCACTCTGGCAGGTATACCATATACCCTCAGTCGATCTGGAAGACCTGCAATTTTTACTAGAGACCCAGACACCAACGCACTAGAATTTACGCAAGTCTAATTGTGCATTATACATAATTTTCTGTTTTGATTCCTCGATATATAGGTTGTACATAATGTTAAACGAACAGTTGTATTTAGAATACCTGGGTTTTCAAGTTTATATACTAGTATGTGCCAGATTACATGGTACGAGTAATAATCATATGACTTCTTTGGCATGAATTTGTATGTAATTTTGCAAATAAAAATTATTATTTATTTATTTTCTTGTAAAAAAATTAAGAAAGAAAGAACAGTGTAACTTTATTATCCGATTGTTATTCTCTATGTATCTAAGTATCTTTACATAGTTGCCCGAACATGTCTCATGTTGTAGGGCCCAATTAGGATAATGGACTTTTCCTTAAGATCAATGTCCACCTGTTGGCCGTTTGGCCCACTTTCTTAATGGCCCATGATTTCGACAAAATGAAGTAACCTCAAGTGTCTATATGCTCATTTGATCATCTCATCAAAACCCTCTGTCCCTAATTATTTGCCGATTGTCCATTTTCTGATATAACACCGAAAAGTGGTGAGATCTATTGTAGTAGTTTTTGTGAGAGTAAAGTTGTGGTCTTCATAAGAGAGTATGAGATTCAAGAAAAACACAAAATATTTCTACGTTTAAGCATAAATGTTTCTACGTTCAAGCACAAGTATAAAGTTGTTGTCAATGGTGATAGATCTTGCATTATAATATCATATCATTATCTTTATCCCATTATTATACAACATCAATATTATAGCTTGTTGTAATTGTTTTGTTTTATAAGCCATATAAAGATTATTGCCTTATTGGTTAGGTTCTCAAAAAAGCTTTTTTTATTTTTGGTCGTATATATAAAATGATTTTTTTTTTTTTTTTTTTGGATTCATGTATCTTGTGCAATAGTGAGAAATTGGCTAGACTTGAACTTTAGAGCATTCACATCAATGAGCATTTTTTTGCTCATGAGCATATTTGGTAGAAATGGTACTACATCAATGAGGAAAATGAAAAATGCTCATGAGCATTTTAGAATTTGCTCATAGGATGAGCAAATTTCATGATGAATAGTAATCTCGTGGGCCCCAACATTCATCCAAAATTGATGAGCAAAAATGGTATAAATGTTACTACATCAATGAGCAAAATAAAATATGCTCATGAGCAATTTAATTATTTTTTGATCACTAGTGGGATAAAATTTCCTCACCAAAAATGCTCATGAGCAAATTGGTTGGGAAGAGAGAGAAAGTAGCTAGAGAGAGAATGAGCAAAAAAAATTTTGCTCACTAATGTGAGTGCTCTTAGTACGAGTATGATAGTCATAAATCTTACAATATTTGTGCTCAATAATAGAAATATTAAATGGTTGGAGTTACACTTGATTTACAAATCGAGGACTAGAGTTGTTGCTTCATAAATCTAATGTTCTAATAACAATCATTGTCAAATTTGTTATAATCATCAATCATGATATCAATTCATATTTATGGACACTTTTTTAGTAGGTGTGACAAGACTCTTATCTTGGGGGCTTGGGGCCTCATTACCTTCATCACCATATCTTCAATTCATAACTTCAAAAGCCCCAAAGACAACTTGATTGCTTAAAAAAATCCACTTTGATCCTTACCTATCAATTTAGCTCGTTATAAACACATCTATCGTCATTTTGAATATCACTGTGAACCCTCTTTTTTATGACAGCTTAATGAACATCTTTAATTCTTTTTTTTTTTTGAAGAAATGAACATCTTTAATTCTAAAAAAAGTTTTTAGGACTATTGGATGCACCATTAATAATTACTTGATACATTGACAATAAGAATCTAAAAAAATGGTTCAATTTCATGAAATATAATTTTCCATTTAGCCTCTAACGATCATTTTGAAATCTGACAAGATTTTATCGACATGATCAAACTCAATCATGTGTTATTATTTTTTTTTAAGAAAAACCAACAAACTATGAAAGATTAAAGGGAAATCATATGAACAAGAGAAATCATGTGAATACATTAATTGAATATCATTTGAAAGAATTGACACTGAAAACTGAATGACATTTTGGAATTTAAAGCCCAAATTAATAAATTCAATGAGTTTCATACAGAAAGAGCCAACTAGGCTTACCTTTCTTGAGAAGTTGGTACCTGACGCGGTTAATAACAGGTCAAATTCAACATCTAAACAAATTCTCTAACTGCAAATTTGATTTATCCACTGTCTTTTTTTGTTTCTTCCAGATTAATTAAGTAAAATAATAAATTTCAAATTCAAAAAAAATTCTGAAACGTAATTGGCCTTTCTGGGTTTGACCTTTTCCACCAAACACAAAGCAAGAAGAAAGCAAAGTTTAAAGCTTTTTCTTCATTTTTGCTGTTTTTTTTTTTTTTTTGAAGTTTTAGAGAGAGAAAGTTATAGAGAGAGAAAAGATGAATCAACCAAATTGGGAGCTCAAGGGTTGCTGTAACCATGATCAAAGAAATTTCATGATCACCATTGGCCTCTTCACAGTTGTTATTCTTGCGGTTTGTTTCTTTTTACTGATACCCTTTAATTTTCTTGATATCTTTTCATGAAACCCAGAAAATAAAGTTTATAACTTTCCCTTTGATCTTTTTTGATTGTGCATTTTTATGCAACTTTGAATCTTGAGTTTTATCAGTAAAGTACTTTCTGGGTTTTTATAGGTTACCAAGATCCCAATTTTACTAATTATCCACTTGAATTTACTCTTAATTATTGTAGATTTGTAGAAGAACTATTTGATGTCATAGGGTAATAAAAAATTCATAGTTTGATCAAATTTTGCACTTTAAGCTTGCAGTTTAAGGGAATTACTTGATAATACATAATTGATTGAGTAAGGTTTGATTTATAGGAAATTTAAGATGTTAAGTTTGTAATTTGAGTGTTGATGATACTTAATTTAAGTATTAAACTGTTCCGAGGTACACAATTTGGAGTTTGTGTTGTTAATTATAGTGTTAGTTTATGAGAATTTTTCATAGTTTTAGTATAAGCCGTATTCACTCAAACATTGGTACCCTGCATTAGGGTTTCTTTTATTATTTCTAATTGCTGATTTGAACTCAATAGCTGATAGTGGATAGTGATGCCAGGATTGCCAACATTGCTCAAATGGCTATAAACATGAAATCGAGCACGGGCATTCTTTGCTAATGATTTTGTAATTTGTATCATTGGGGCAGTTATGTACTTAAGCTAAGGTCAACATGTTTTAGCTGAAGTGTTGAACTACCTGAAAGTTTGCTAGGATAGTTGAACAATATATATAACTGCTTGAATATTTTTAATCTTTATTGTTTAGACTTGTATGATCTTATTATACTCGACGTGTTAGTTGAATTTTATGACTTGATTAATCTGCTGAGTGACATACTTTCTCTCTTGATTGACAGCTATGGAGGACATTTTTGCTGACACCATTTAAGCTCATTACCGTCTTTCTGCATGAAGTCAGTCATGCTATAGCATGTTTACTTACATGTGGTTCGGTAAGTTATTCTCTGCTTTCTTTTTGCAATTTTATTCACCAGTTTTTGTTTTAGGTAGAGGATAGACAGGATAACCGTGACACTCAGCTAAGCCCCTGTGCCTCCTCCAAATTATTACTCAGATTAGCTAATTACTTTTGCGTTGCAAAGACCAAATTGCAGAAAGTTATGTCTGGAGCCATTTCTTATGAATTAGCCAATCATCTCATTAGGTCAAGTTCATGAAATGGATCAGGAATGTCCCTAAAAAAACAATCAGAAAACAAGGTGGAAAAAAAAGTAAATGTTGGAAACCATCTTTTTTTAGGAGGCACATCTCCCCACCCCCCCCCCCCTCCCCCCTCTCCTCCTCTCTATTCCTGAGGCATTAAAATTTTCATGAAATGAGAACGAGTCAAGTTCCATGCACTTGAATATGTCGATATCAAGTCAGAGGCATTTGTTTCAACTCTAGAGAACAAGCCAACCCAACAGTTAACTGTATTTATTGTCATAATGAACATAAAACAAGCTTAAACTGAAGTCTCTATGGCTCTAGCTTACCTACACAGATCTTAGAGAACTTCCTAGCACGAGTACTCGAGTAGATAGTGTGAAATTAAGATATGAGATTCAGCAACATGCACACAAACAGAACTCCTTAGGCAATAGCGTTTGAAATTATATTACAGATTGAACAGCATGCACTTTTAAGAAAAAATGTTAATCAACTGTAATATATGCAGTTCAATAATTGCTGCCCTATTTTGAACCATAATACTTCACCTGTGTCTTTGTGCCTAAGCAGCTTAATGCTTAGATTATAGCTTCCATCCCATGTAGTTTATAGACAGTATTCTGACTGAATTTTGAGCCAGGTTTAATAAAATTATGCTGAACTATACATTGGAATTTGTTTTAAATTTTCTATTACAATTCCATGTTACTAAGAGAATGTAAACTCGTGAAATTATCGATCAAAGGTACTGCAGGTCAATTCCTGATTAATGATTATGGTCTCTTGTTCTATGCTGATATCTAGGTGGAGGGAATCGAGGTTCATGCAAATGAGGGAGGTTTGACACGAACACGTGGCGGTGCATATTGGCTGATCTTACCTGCTGGATGTAATTTCCTGTCTAAAAGTTTTATTTAATGCCATGTATTTTTTTTTTCCTGCTTCTTGATCAATCTAACCTATATATGAGGATTCTTGCTTTTATATTATGCTTCAAGCTAACCTTTTACTTCTTGATCTGCTTAGTTAGAGCTTAATCTTATCATATCGTTTGGGCACTCACACATTTAATGCATCTTACACATTTAGATCTCGGCTCTTCATTCTGGGGAATGCTTTTGGTACTTGCCTCCACAAATCTTCTTACAGCAAGAATTGCTGCTGGCTGTCTTGGTGTAGCACTGGTCATCGTGCTCTTCATTGCACAAAATGTAAGGGATTTATGATTGATTTTACATCATGGTACCATCATTTAGCTCCATTTTTTGTCTTAGATAGATCTGACTTTTTTTAAAATTTGCTTGGTAACAAACAGTGGACACTTCGAGGACTTTGTATTGGTGAGTCTATGTACTAAATCTAATACTCGGATTTTCTTTCTAATGATTATCTGTTGTATTAATTTACATGACACTTGATGATGACAATACAGGATTTATTGTTTTTCTTGCTGTAATTTGGATCTTGCAAGAAAAAACAGATATACATATCCTTCGGTATGTCATCCTTTTTATTGGTATGTGCTTACAATCCTCTTTTTCCATTTGATTATATGTACATGTTAGCACTATCTTTAATTTCATAAAATCTCAACAGGATTTTGCATCAGTCACTAAAAAGCATGTTTCATTTTTGCAGGGGTGATGAACAGTTTATTCTCAGTTTATGGTAAACTCATTTATCCTTTTCCAGAAATCTCTACTTGCATGATTCTCGGTTAAAGTTCTGAATTTTATGCTATGATGTAGATATCTATGATGATCTAATATCTCGAAGAGTAAACTCTAGTGACGCTGAGAAATTTGCTGAGGTTTGCCCTTGCCCATGCAATGGGTTTGCATGGGGGTTCATTTGGTGAGTTTTTGGAAAGACATAAATGCAATCACACCTCTGTTTTTTCGAGTTTGACAATAATTTTTTTTCCTCCATCTTGAATATTTTCTTGCAGGGGAATTATATCCTTTGCTTGTCTCTGTGGAGCCATGTATTTGGGCCTTGTCATCCTGTCATGACCTTGAGTAACAATGCTTCTCTGAACATACTTTCCAAGGTGCATTTCATTGCCTGAACTACAGTTAAAACCGACTCTTGTTGCGAAGTGATGAATGACAATTGTAGTAACTAATAAACGAGGAAATCTCTATAATGACCGCTCTAATGCTCTATGGTAATGCAACTCTATTCCCACTTAGGTGTTCATAAAGTGGCATTGAGTGGTAAGAAAATTTACAAATAAAAACATACTTGGGGATGGATCTGCATTACTATAGACTTCTAATTTTTTAGACTTTCTGTACAAAATTACAGTGTATGGGAAATTTGCAATTACGATCAGTTATTACCACCAACTAAACAGACTGAAAAATGTTCTCATAATGTATTAGTAGTCTCCTACTTGGTGGTCACAGGATGATTTTATTGACATTTGACAGCAATGATTGGCCCTTGTTTATGCAGAATTTTGCATCATTGCGCTCTGGGATTGAATTTCTAGTTTCAGCTGACATCGTGGATGAACAGAATTTCTTCATTCTTTCGCCGTAATTTTTGCTATCTACATACCAAGGGTGGCTTGTACATTTAGACAGAAATGAACCTATTGTTGTAGACAATCTAGACATACTACTGACCATGGAAAACAATTTATTGGAGTTATTTTTTCTACTACTCAATAGCACTTTGTATATTTGAGATGTTTCTGATGCATTGGTGTTGCCAAATGACTACAACTTTTACTGATGACTACTGCTGGCATTACTGCTGTGTCAAACACATTTTATCACAGCAACAGCTTCATGCTGCTACTAACTGAAGCGAAGGTTGTATCAATGCGCTATGGGGATGGATTTCAGAGTTTATCGACTCCACTCCCTCACACACTTATACATAGTACGATCAGTAATTTTTTTTTAACAACACACGCGCACAACCCCAACCTGTCCAATTATCCTCCCTACACGGCAAACACCATTGCAAAAGGTTGTATAATCATTGCGAGCACAGATGACAGGATGATATCAACCACGATACCATTGGCGGCCTTGATCCTCAAGGAGCAAAGACCATAACTAAACCCGTGAAGGTCCTTCCGTAGTCTGTACCCATCAAAGCCCGAAGGCCATAAAAGACGGCATAAACATGAAAGCATTTCATGAAGTTGAGTGAAAACCTTTCCTGAGTTGAGTTAACTAATCAAATTCCATAATTCCCCAGAGTTCCGAATATTCTATTCACATATACCATGTTCTGAAGTACTTGTATAATTTAAGTGAAGTAAACACGAAAGTTGTTTTTCATTAGACGGATGTTCCTATAATTCCGCTCTAAACTTGAAATTTTTTTAATCAACTTATAATTTATTGTTGCTTTTACTTTCTTTAGATTTTGTGGAAAGTCAACTAATACAAGTTCTCTTATGAATAAAGGTGTATAATATATAGTTATACGGTACCATGCAAATATTCTAGAGTGCAAATTAAGTAACTTCAGAAATAAATGTTCCAAGTTATAATTTGTCAGGAGTTTTTTATTGTCTTAATATAATGCTTTCCCTTTATGACTTTTATTACAAATTTTAAATTTACAATATGAACTAAATATATGTAGTGAATGAACGTAAGATTCAATGAAGTGTCAAAAAAAATAATACGAGTACAAAAAAAAAAAAGGGAGACAAATTCGCACGATATGCTGCACGTTTAGAGAGTTTCATTCTTCAGCTGGTTTTTTCTTCCTGGTATTCTACATTTGAATTTTGACTTGGAATATTTCTTAATTTTAAATATATAATCCACATTAAATTCTAAGTAATTAAAATGGTACAATTGCTAAGATTATGAGCTAACTCTTTTTTACTGTAAAGACAAGCAAGTCATGCCAGGTTACAAAATTTAGCCTTCAGAAATTCATGCAAGGCTCAATATTTTTTACAGAACAAAGCTATATATCTAAGTCGTCATCAGGATCCTCGTCAGAGTCTGGTCTTTCATCATCTGAATCACGGAGATAGACTATCTCACCTCTTGAAGAATTTTCAGTAACTCCAGTTTTCTCAGCTTCGGTTGCCATCCCATTTTGCGATTCCATGAGAGATCGACGGCCATCATAAATTTGGTTAGCTTTATCTGTTTCTGAAGAAGTAACAACAAAAGACATCATCAAATGTCACAGATACCATAATGAACAATATGGACTTGCAATATAAAAAAAGCTCAGATAACCAAAACAGCCTCTTGCACTTGGATGCATCAGTACCTTGGTGTTCAAAAGGAAGAACTACTTTTGAACGATCAATTTGCTCTTTCTCTGACAGATCTAGATTAAATTGCACCTGCATAGATTAAAATTGAATTAGGCAAAATCTATGTTCAACCAAGAATGTTAGTCTACTCAGATTAGTCCAAATAAGGACCAATAAGTTCAATCAAGTCCTGGTGAATTAGATAATAGCGGTTTTCTGCAGTCTTTGTGACATGGAAAACGTGGAGTGTAGGAAGAAATAATTCTACTAACCTTTGGTACTAGTGTCTGTGCCATTGACTCCTCTTCGGAAGAAATTGACTTGAAAGTAATTCCTGTTTGCTCAACATGAAATTCTTCAGACTGAACAAAGTGAAATGTATCAGCAAAAGGAGATCTGGACCACTGAATCCTGTAATGATATGAGTAGCATTTATCTTAGGAAAAGAATACCATCAATCTAACTCTTCCATTTCTGCGCTTTAGGCGCACCCTCAACTTCGCTTTCCTAAGATTCTGCTCAAGCAGGCCTTGTTGTCCATTTTTTAGTTGAGTCAAGCCTTCCACACTAGCCACAATAGAAGACATATACTCAAGAGCAGCAATTGTACTTGTGTCATGAATATCTGAATGCAACAGCCAAAAGGTACTGGAAACTTGTCCTACAACATCACAGATATGGCAATAAGAAGGGTCATATAGCATACTCCACAGAAGATCATGATCTATGAACTTAGTGATTGCAATGAGATCATTGGTATAACCAGCTTAAAAGACTTGTCACTCTTCTAAACGACAGGAATTCACTCTAACAGTAGGAAAATTGGACTATAAGCTGTCCTACATCTAGAGCGGTTAACTGTGTGCTTCACTGATCTGCTCGACGCCAAATAATAGAACTAAAATGAGAGGTAAAAGAGAAAATGCCATATCCAATTAGTACAGTAGCAACTATTCATGGACAAAACATTGCTGGAGTAGAGTAAGTTCAAAGAATTACAGAAATTAGCAACAAACAAGAATGTACAAATAGATTATACATGGAAAATAAATTTCCATGGCCATAATAATAATGGAATTATGGAAAATCAAAGCATGATGGCAACACAAGATCGTGCAAAAAAATTTGATAAACCTAGCTGTTAGCTTGTACTGACCAAACTAATAACCCTAGGACCCCACAATTAACATAATGTTTCCAATCATAGCCATGAAACAACAGTGTTGGACTGAGTTATTCTGTAACGGAAGTCCTCTTCCAATATCGTAGACATGTTGTACTTTCTTTCTCTGTGCAGAGAAAATCATATCATAATGCAACCATGGAATAGTCATATTCCAAGGATAAGACTGATGACCATCTAATCATGCTTTTTAAACAAGGATTGAAGAATGAGATATAAGGATTTCAGCAATACATAAGAAACCCCAATCTTTTGAGGGTTTGAACAAGTGCAGAATCAACAAAAATACCCAAACTAGCAAAATTTGGGGTGGGAGAATATATATGTTCATAGACCCCATAGTTCCAAATGGAATCCAAGTAAGATGAAAAGTTGCTGAACATATGGCCCAATTAGCCAAAGGAGGCAGACAGACAAGTGATAGTATAATGATGAACAAGTACTGTTGCACACCTAGGTTAAGCCTGCTATTATCTAAACAATAAGCAGACATGTCTAAGGCTAGCTGCGATAAGGAAAAGGCAAAATGTAATTTCATAATACTCTCTCATTCTAAGAAAGCAATCATTGCATAACTTATTCTGTACACTGATTGACACATAGTTTAACATCTTACACATCATAAAGAAGCAAAGTATTCAATCTAGATGGAGAAACATACCATGACAGCGAATATTACTAAGAAGACTGGCAACAGATGACAATGGGACATCTCTTAGTAACTCAGTTACCTGGAAAAATATTTAATTAACTGTTAGAAAGAAGACAATATGAAGAAACTTTTCAAACACTACTGATTATAATATGATGCATTATACAAGACCGAGTCAAATTAACCCCCCCCCCCCCCCAAAAAAAAAAAAGGCAGGAAAAAACAGAAGACAAATTTTCACATAATATGTTGTATGAGTGATGAATGGGAGGCTGTTTGCATAGAGCACATCAGATATTTGGAGCCTTTTGGAAGTTATATCACTTTGACCAGTTGTGTTTCGTATTACTCAAGCATAAACTGACACTGAAACCATACATTTAGGTTGAAGCGTTAAAAAACCACAACTTTAGCTTATAGATAGATATGAATACAATCAAGAAAATAAATGCCAAGCCCTGCCAAAAAAGTTTTCACATCACAGACATAATAAATTATCAAGAAACATAGTTATATATTTACATGTGTTTGTATGAACAGTGAATATTTCAATCCAGTGCTTGCCAAAATAATTTATTGCTATAAGCAACTTAAATTCTTAAATCTAATGGGTCTGTTCTCACTCCTCCCATCATTTTGACTCAGACACCCGCCCACGACCACCCCACCACCCACTACCCCCCCCCCCCCAAAAAAAAAAAAGAAAAGAAAGAAAGAAAACCTCAAATGCATTCATCATACTTGATTCTAGTCTACAAATCTCCAACATTACAATGTGAAAATCTACTGTACCAAAAAACAAACGTGCAATTTATCTAGTTTTTTAGGGAGGGGAGGACAGAAAAAAAATATATTACCGAGTCTATTGCTATGCAAAATCGATCCTTTCCTTGTCCAACAATTCCTGTGGCATAAACATGTAGAAAGTTACGGAGCGGTCTTTCATATTCACATTAATATCACTTGCCATACCATTTTTTTTTCCTTTAACCATAAAAGATAATCATCTCAAACATCATGGGATTTTATAATTTAACCAAAATTCTGAATTTCCAATAATTATGCTCTTTTCTCCAAAGTTAATCAATACTAGTTTTGATAGAAATGAGTTGAGTTCCTCATTAAGCAAAAAATAGTTTGAGGTAAGCAAAAGTTTAGCAACACAAAAAGTTAATTTGAGCCATAATAAGTTAAGTTAAGCAAAACAAAGTGTTATTTTTTTCAGCAAAAATAACTTGGGGAGAGCAAAGCCTAAGGCATATCTCTAGCACTCACTTGTTTACGAACAATTGTCAACTACACTTAATCGATCTCAGCTTTATTAATATGAAAAATAAGAGCACAATACGAAGCTATACCTTTTCCCAACTCAAGAATCCCAGAAAGCAATTTTTCCAAATTTCTTACATCCCTGAAAACTGTCACCCCAAACGAAGAATCTGGAGAACTGCCAATCCGCCCATTTTCCTTAAGCCTATGCTTCCAACCAAGAGGATCTGTATAACAATCTAGTATCCGAACCCTACACAAGAATTTCCCAAAGTCAGAATATTCCACATCATAACCAAGATTAGACCTTGGCTTGTTAGTTTATATTTTGAACTGATTAGGTAAAACCATGAAAACAGATAATAAAACTAAGAAGACCTGGCAATTCAGAATACTACCATAATCAAAATAGGTGAATACATTGTAAAATATTCCCTGGTTGGAAATAATTGTCACATGTCACAACTCACAACTCCTCAATCACTCATAAGGATAGGCATGATATACAAGAAGAGCCTTCTATATGGTCGAACCACTCTCACGGTCTCACCACTCAACCAAGTCTTTCGCAAAATCCAATCATAAACCATCACTGTCTTAAGAAAAATTACTCCGTACAACTTTCTGATATGAACATCTGTAAGTAGTACTACTATATGCTATATTTTCAAATCAGCATATGTTTCTACTCTTCAACAAATCCAAATAATAACACAACCTGATTTCCTTAGCTTATTATCATGTAAATTTTTGAAAAAATAAAAAGATAAAACTCCGGAATATAAGATAATTCAAATCCAAAGTATTGGAATTTCTCACCTACATTGTACCAAAACAACTACACCATTTAATCATCAATATCATCACTATTTAATATTAAATAAAGAAATATTAATTTCAAAATAAAACAAAAATGGAGGAAAGTAAATACATGCCATTTATCCAAAGAAACGCCATCGATTCCACTACTCTTCATCAAATCAATATAATACGACGGGCTTCGAGCAAATGCGACGATCACCAAACCTCTGCAAACAAACAAAACACAAAATCAATGTAAATTTCAAAAGAATGGAGAAAACAGGATGATACGGCGTCGTTAGGGTTGTAACCTGGATTGTGATTTTCCCGCCAAAATGAAGGAAGAAAGCTGAGAGAGAACGTAATCGAAGACATGAAAAGCTAGAGGAGAGAGAATGGAGTCTTTGATAGTGAGCGCTGGAGCTAATTCTCCCTCTAATGCTCCGTCTCGAAGAACTCTGCAGGTTGCTTCCGCCATTGTTGACGATGATGAAGCTCACTCTAAAACCCTAGATTTTGCAATTTGGGGTTTTGAGTTTTGACCTCTTTTCGATTTTGATTTTTGGTTGACGGTTGGTTGGTTATACCCCGCTGCCCGTACGTCGTCGTTTCGTGTGTGGGCTTTTTGTTCCATCACATAATCAATTGTAAAGAATTACTCGTGACGCGGGGGAACTCACCTTATGAATTTTGAAGTCACTAAATTGAGGACATTGTTATGGGAATGGTCGGAAATGACTTTTAAGCTCAATTTTCAAGTTAAATATGTTAAGATAACTTTAATTTAAGTAAAGAATTCATAAAAACACTTAACGTTTGAAAATAAAAGAAATTATAGTATGAGTTTGAACTCATAGTGGTACATATATAAGCTATTAGACCTTTCAAATACGTTTTTGAACATCCTTGACTGATAAATGATAGAACGGAATAAGTTTTTAATACTACGTATATTTGGCATATCAAATTTTGAAATTTATGTATTTGGTGAGTGATCACACAATGAAATAGAATCACCCATTATTATATGAAGAGACGAATATTTGGTTGGCTTTGTCGCATTGACACAAATACACAATAAGTGAAAAAATTCACTTCCCACAAAATGAAAAAAGTTGTTAAGAACCTGTTTCGATTTATTGAAAACAACAGAACTGAATAAAGCTGAAATAAATTGTTTATGAGGGAAGGAATTTAGGAACTGAACTGAAGTCGATCGAACTGATTAGAGCTGAACATAATAGACTCTAAGTTGCTTACATATAATCTCCTATTAATAAAACTCTCCATGAAAATTCCATTTTCATGTTGATAAGTGATAAACAAATAATTTTACTCACTTCTGTAAAAGTAAAACCCACAGTTTTATGATTTAAATGGAAGTGTAACTTACTACATACAACCAAAAAATTAGCTATTTTAGAACTGTGGACGACAAAATACATGCATCCAATAAAACAAAAATATCATTTAAAAAAAAAGTTAGAGAATAACACGTGTCATTCTTGAATTAGTATTTGGTACTCGTATTATATTCTTGAATTAGTGTTTGGTATACGGAATTACGGAGTATAATTATCCCTAACCTTGTTAAGTAATCTCTCTTGTGCGTGGCGGCAGGCGGAGACAATCATGTGATCTCCATCAAACATGGCCAATCTTGTGAATTTGTGATGTCATGATTTGCAATTGTAATGCAAAATTGTAGGAGAAATAAAGGGGACTACCACTTTACACTATAATGCATCCATAATTTACATTTAGCAAAAAGAAATTAATTAAAGTGCACACTTGACATTACAATTCACGTGATTTTGTAAAATTTAAATTAATTATACAACTATACAAAAAGAAAAAGGTCAACTCGTGTATATGTTATGTTATTGTACAATATATAATCATAATAATTATATGATGTGATATTTTAAAATTATTAAAAAAAAAAAGAAAGAAAAAAGCAAGATCCAAATAGTGAAAATAATAGTGGTTGTGATCTCAAAATTGCGTTAGTTGTAAAGGTATAATCAAATTTCTAAGACTGTCGGTTACTATGTTACCTTCATTTTGACTAGTAACTATATTAAGAAAGGGATTATGTCAGAGATTTTAAGGTTTTGATGTTTCTAGTCCCTTAATTACTATTTGTGGTTAAATATAAAAGGAATTGATGTGTCTATTTAGTGAATGATTTATCCTTTGATTTTACAAAAGGATACAAAAATTGATAGTATACTTCTTGTGTAATGACTAATGAGCTAGCTTCTACCATAATATACACGGGCACAATATAACAATTAAGCTAAATGTTTGCTTCATACTTGTATGTCTTTTTGTGTATATCTGTAGGTTCTACTTGTTCATTATATGTTAAGATGATATATTTGTCTTTTAACGTGCACACAATTATTTCCTCGGATCGCTACTTCTTTATTTACTCTTATTAGAAAGTGTATTAAAGTGCAATCAATAAAGAATGGAAAGAATACATAGCATCCGAAACATGTTTAGATTAGGATAATTAGGATCGAATGACAAAATATAAGAATATATGGTCGTATATCAAGGGAAACAAAAACGAATGGTACCTCTTTAATTATATCAAGGCATGTTACCAACTCATCATGATGATTTAGAATATTGTGTCATTGTCCTTTTAATATTTAAGTAAGTAATTAAGTTGAGCTTTATGTGGACTATTTCATAAATTAATAAGTGGGTCAAATGAGATTATTGAAGATCAGACATCATACCAAAAATATAAAATATTACTTAATGAGTTTTAAACTCATCAAGACCTCGTTGAACTAGATATGCTAATTGTACTTTGAATGTAATTTAGGGTATCTAAACTAATTGTTTACAATATATAAAAATCATATAAAAGACCTACTAAAATCTTGTATATTAAACTTTTAAACATTCAAAGGGAAGAAGACACACTACCTTGATGTTGAAGACTAAAAGAGTGATTTATTGGAAGACATGGAATTTTGGTGTGATTTTGTTAGTAAAAAGGCAAGAGTCTCACGTGCATAGTAGTTTAAGAAAAGCATCCTTTTGTACCTTGGCAAATAAGCAAAATGTGATCACCTCTCTCTTCAATTCGATCTTTAGCCCTTTATTTTTCTTCTCTTTCTCTTTTTCTTTTTTTTTCAAGCTTAATTCCACTTTAATTTGGTCATTAGACAAGTTTATGATGTAATTTTTAAGCTTTTGTTTTAGTAACATATCTAGTTCAACTTGTGAATCAAATTAATTAGGGGTTAACTTTAGTTATTATATCATTGGTAGGGCATTCTCAATCAATACTACAAATAATGAAAATTAATAGAGAAAAGTTGATTAAATGAATATTTTTTAGACTTTGTTCTAATCGAATTACTATAATCGGTTTTAGTAAAATCAATTTTAATTAGGTCAACAAATAAATGATTTACATTCAAATTAGTTTTAATTACTAAAACCATATCGATATAACTTAGTTGCAAATAAAGAACCTAATTGTATATATGTAGATGATGATCAGTAGCATTATCTTAACTTTCGATTAATTAGCACCAAAATATCTATTAAGGCCCTAATCAATCTATTCATTATATTTTCGCTTATCTTAGGACGTAAACTAGAACTTTCACATTAAGCATAATAGTGATGAGAAAGGAATCAAAGGATAATGTAGCAATTACGTACTGATGTTATAATGACGTGTAGAGAAATTTTTTAAAAAAATTAGAAAAAAAATGAGTGAGAATTTTGAAAACAATAATTGAATAAATTCTGAGCCAGAAAAAGGGAAAAAAAAAATTTAGTAAGTGATTGGGATGTAATTGGGGGGCTAGAGTTCATTCTCCATATACTTCTGAAGAAGAAAGCCAGTAAAACCACACCCACGAATAATAGAAGTAATGTCTTTTTCATTGAAGTCAAAGTACTAATTGAATATTTATTTATTTAATTACTATTACGACTTTAATTTGTAAGTAATGGTAGATACAAATTTATATAATTTATTTTGACATATGCAAAATTATACAATTGAGACCCTTAAACTTGTACAATAAACACATAGACTCATACAAAAGAACAAATTAAACTTCGGAATACCACATTGCGTATGTAGTAGTTGATGAATCGTGAATGAAAGCCTTAACAGTGAACTTTATTTAGAGTAAAATGATACATAAAACTTTCTGTCAAAAAATGAGACATAAAACTTAAAATAAATTCAGTCGTCCATATTATTATTATTCAATTCTTAGTAACTCTTTACGCGAAAAATGTAAATAATTTTTTAATTTTTAATTTTTTAGAACGAAAGAATAACATGGTAATTAATGAGTACTTGTATTTTTTTTGGACATATGTTTATAAAATCTTAATTTAATCCGAAGTTCCTTTCCCAAAAGTAATGTTTCAAAATTAGCATAGTAACAATCAACAACTATGCATAATTGGAAAATGGAGATTGTAGTACCTTCATTTGTCAACATCTTTTCCATAACTATTTTGTTTTGATCTTCACAAACTTGTCATTCTACCCCATAACCCACGGCATACAAGATGTCGAAGTCATTATTGTATAACTTTTGCGTATCTTAATATATGTTTACTGATTTACAAACCACATAAATTCCAAGTTTTTTTCTTCATAATTTACATTGCATTATTCAGCACTTCATATAAAAAATTACGAGTAATACAATCTCGTCTATTTTGATATTTCCAATGAATCTCAAGTACGTGAGAAAAGGGGTGTCCTTGGATTATTAATGGAAGAACGATTTTTAGTATTAGGGTTAGAGAGTTATGATAACAAATTGTGAACAAAACTTCTCTTTTGATTTCATTATATAATATTTTGTGAATTAAAATCCATTAAAAAATTGAAAATCTGTGAATTAAGAACTCGGTGAAAGGTTTTTTTACAATTACAAAATTGATTTGAAATATTATGGTCGATGTTAGTTCGAATGCCTATAAGCATAGTTCCAAGAATCTTAGTAAAAGATAGTCGAGGTTTGATTTTATCGATGTTGCAAAAAATAATTTTTGGTTTACGAGTTACAACATTAAGTGTGAATAGGGATGTTCGTGATCGCTGGCCCGATAGCCAAATGGGCCAAAGATTGAGAGATCAGATCCACACGGACATAAAAATAAATCTAATACTTGACCTGGATAATTTTTTTAAGGGATTTTGGACCAAACTTGACCGATAATTGAAAAATTATTAAATTCTTAACCTATAGTCTGGACCGATTCTCTCCGATCGATTTATTCTGATCTATATTTATGGTTCGGTTGGTTTTTTGAACTCCAATCCCCTAAGTGTGAATACATAATTAATGTATAGAAACTTAATATTTGTCCCAACACATGCAAGTCTAATGCTATCTTCATACACACAAAAGCTCAGCAATTGATATATTGCCAAACTTGTAAGGGTCAACTCCTTTACTTGTTTAAGATCATTACAACTTCTACATTAAACTACCTTCAATTCACAACTCACAACAGTTACTATGCATGCCAAAGTTGCGTCATCTCCAACCTTCTTTTAGTGCTTATATGCCAACAAGTGCACAACTGCCTACACAATTTATTTATCATTTATTTTCATGGCTAGATGATATTTTCTATTGACTATATGATATTATAGCCAATATAGAATATCAAAAATCCGTTGTCAATCCAAATTGACACAATACCTTATCTTAAATTAATTGATCCTTTTAATTTGGTGATCATCGATCTCATGTAATAGTAATCTTCTAAAATAACTAAGCTAGCTGGTTAACAATTTTGATATCCTCTCATATATCTCATACTTAGGGCCTATTCTCATACGTTTATTTTCCGTTCAATCTATGAGAACAGGCTCTTAGCTAATACATTCCATATGTATGAATATATGAGTATAATAATGTAAGTTAAATAAAGATGTGGCCAGCACTCTATCTACAAATTGGCCGGTAAAAAATGCTAGCCATTTGACTATCATCAAACATTTTTATTTATTATACAAAAATTGTACACTTCTTTTGCTTCTTTAAAATTGCAACAATATAAGTATCAATGTATCATATAACGAGTAGATTATTAAATGACAAACTACTTTAAGCATTATACATTTATACACATTAAATTTATTTTTGTATAATATGGGGCATTACTTATTAAAATATTAGTAGCAATAACATGAGGTCAAAGAAAATTGATAAAATTTCATACATGTAGACAACGCGGGACCAATAAAAAAATATGAAGCATAATCTTATAGTATAATAATAATATTCGTTCAAGAAGTAAAATTTAGATGCATTTATGTGGAGTATAATTTCTAAAAATATCATAAAAATTTTGTTACTTCGTAGATTCTTTATAGTCGCAAATTGTTTTGCGATACAAGAAGTATCCACGTCCTCAAAGTGCAAATATGATAGTTACACAACTACTAAGGACAAATATATCCACATTAGAAAAATACTGTCCACGAGCAATACATAACGAAACTCGACCATTGACGGTCCAATTTTGCAGGAAGTTGGTTATTTTAGGATTTTAGCATAATGTGAAAAATTGTATTCCGTAAAAGAAAAAAAAAATACTTCGTATAATACTCGTACTACAAGGTCTACAACTCCACGAGTAATTTGTGATGTAACTTCGGGGAAAGAATAATAGAATATAGCCGTATAGGAAGTTGTAGACCTTCTTGTAGTTATTTGGTTAATAATTTGTTTGTTATCCATGAGTAATTTATTTGTTGTAGACTACAAGTAATTGTAGACTTCTAGTTATTTGGTGTGAAATTATTATCTAGGTCAATATCATGTTTTAGCTTAAGTGAAATTTGACCATACTTTGACTGTTTTTTATGGAAAAGAAAAACAAATTGTGGGATCTTGTAAAATTTTCAATCTGCACTGTCCAGATAAATAATTTCCACAATTAGTGATTTTCCTCTCTAACCCCTCTCCAGTCACCACACCAAAAAAAAAAAAAAAAAAAAAAAAAATGATCGCCCCCTAAATCAAAAACTAAATTTCATGATTGTTCACTCTAAATTAACGGGTTATTTTTTCTCTTGATTTTTTTTACTTACAGAGTATATAAACTTGCATATCATCCTATTAGACTTTATTATAATTTATATCTCATTTATTGGCAAATATATTAGACTTTATTATAATTTATATCCCATATAATGACAAATATTATTACTCAATATAATGTACTTAAAGTTTTTAAAAACGCATTGACTGTATAAATATACCTTCCTTTATAAGTTGTACTCCATTTTAATCAACAAAATTAGGAGTACTCCATACTTTCTTTATAAGTTTGTAAAAACATGTTGACTACTCCTAAAAGCTCATTTTAATGGTAAATATTATGGAAAACTGTACATTATAAGTTCTTGAAAACGCGTTGACTACATAAATACTCCGTATACTTCCCTAAAGTGTACATTTTAATCCACAAAAGTACATGTATCAGTACAATATTATAAGTTCTTGAAATCGCATTGACTACATAAATATACTTTCCTTAACTGATACACAAAATTACAGGTACAATGTTTTTAATTTATAAGTTCCTCACTACGCGTTTGACTACATGAATATACTTTCCTTAAAACATTTTATATTTTTATTCCATAAAATTACTCTCTTCTCATCCAAAAACAAAATTACTCGTATTTTCCCATTCATCATTCTTATCCAAATAATAAGTACACCGTATACGGCACATCATCAATCTATCTCCTTCCCAAAAGCCAGGATTAAAAAAAAAAATCATTTTTTTTACCATAAAAAATATTAAATCTGTTAAAAAATCATTTTTTTACCTTAAAAAGAAAAAATTACTGCAAAATATCTTTCGTCATCCCTTTTCAACGACTCAACTGCCTATTTCCCCCCTTTTTTCACCCCACCGACCCTCTTCATTCAACTCCATCTTCTTCTTCTTCTTCTTCTTCTTCTTCCTCCTAATTCTCTCTCTTCAATCTAAATTTTCTGACTATTTTTACAGAATTTAATTCTTTCTTTTTCAATACAAAACAAATTTAATTAAACCCTTAATTTTGTTTGATTTTATACCTTTCAAATTACTCTTCTCTTTCTCTCTCCTACGATACCACACAAACAAACACATCCTCTGGATCTCAATCTTCCTATTCTTCTTTCTTTCTACATCAATTTCTCACTTTTTTTCCTTTTCTATATAAAACCCAAACATTTGTTTTAACAATGACACACAATTTCCATTGTTTTCAATACACCTCCTTCTTCTTCTCTTACCATCTATCATCAATCAATCCCTAATTTCACTTCAGTACATCATCTACATTTGTGGGTATCAATCAATTTTGGGAATTCTTTATCAAAATTCATTCTTTTTTAATTTTGATTTCTGGGTTTTGTTTGAATTTTGGTGGGGTTTTCTTTCAATTTTTTAAATTCCTTCTCAATGACTGTCGAGTTTGCGGATGATGTTTCATACTTAACTTTTCTACCAATTTCATTGATTTTTGTTGTGATTTGTTTGGTTTCATTGTTGAAGAAGAAGAGTAAAGGGGTAATGGCGTTCGATGATGGTGTTTTCTGGAATGAGCATAGGCTTCAGAGGTTGAAATGTTCTGTAAAAAATTATGATTGGGGTAAAATTGGGAGTGATTCTGAGGTTTATAGATTGTTTAGTGCCAATTCTGAGGGTAATAAGTTGGATCCAAACAAACCCTATGCTGAATTTTGGATGGGTACTCATGAATCTGGTCCATCTCATGTGCTCAAAAATGGGAATATTTTTGCAAATGGATTTGGTGCTAAGAATAGCAAATTTGGGGATTTTGAGGGTGACACTCTCAAGTCTTGGATTGAGAAGAACCCTAATGTGCTTGGTCATAAGGTTGTTGACAAGTGGGGTTATGATCTACCCTTTTTGTTTAAGGTAAAATTCTATTGATTTTGGGTTTTTAATTTTATTTTAATTTGTTGATCTTGCTGAATTGCATGTTTATTAGATTGCTTGATTGGAAATTCAATGTTTGTTTGAGTTTTGGAGAAATTTGAATGGTGAATTTTGTATACTGTTTACATTTTTATGGACTAATTACTTATGGTTTTGTGGAAGTTTATGTTGTGAATTATGTTTACCTTTACATATTTATGGACTCATGAGATTGTATTTGGTTAATCTGTGATTAAAAGGATGAATTTGATTGTAATGTTGCTATTTTGAACATTGTAGGCGTTGTCGGTCGCAAAGACACTGTCAATACAAGCTCACCCATGCAAGGAGTTGGCTAAGAAATTGCACATTAGGGACCCACTTGTTTACAAGGATGGCAATCATAAGCCAGAAATGGCTCTTGCATTAACAAAGTTTGAGATCCTTTGCGGATTTGTCAGTATCGAGGTATGAAGCTTGCCCGAGTTTCCTTTTCATTAATCTCTATTGCTGATTATCTGATTTTTCAGGAGTTATTTTTCTATTGAAATCAAGTGTTTGAAATTAATTCTGTGGACTGTAGTTAACTAGAAGTCTTGGCTGTTTAGACTTGTCATAAAGAGTTTTTATATGGAGCTCATATGTTGCTGTTTATTTGATTTAGTAGTGTGTATCATTTAATACAGTTTATAAACTCAGACATAATTGATAAACTTTTGTCTTCTTGGCTTATACATCTTTTGTTTTTTGGACCATTTGTTGTGTCTTTTTCTTTATGATGTTGTAAAATTTTCTTAAGTTATCTCTTAGAAGTGCAATCTCCACCTCCCTTGATTTTAAGAAATTGATGAGTAACTTGTAAGATAAAATCGTTTTGGCTAATGCATTAGTTTCCTCTTGTACTTTAGGAACTCCAAAGGATTCTTAAAGGTGTTCCAGAAATATCACAATTGGTTGGTGCTGCAGTTGTGGATCAGCTGCTGAACATTACCCCAGAAGATGGGGAAGATACAGTTAAAATTGCCTTGAAACAGCTGTTTACTCAAATTATGTCAGCAAGTGAGCATGTGATTGCTGAGGTGCTGTCTCAGTTGATTCCTCGTCTGAGGAAGAAGGAGGAGGTATGTTATTTTTCTTATTGGTCTTGTGTTTTACTTCATTTCATGTTGCTCTTAGTTTTTTAAATATGAATGGCAGATTTTGAAAATTTTTGGCAAATCTTATTGCTCTAATTTGTATGGTAGTATGTAAGAAACTGGGTCCTGATTCAATTATCAATGTAGAAAAGGGCCATTGTGCAATTTGTGAGCTTGATGTCTGACACTCTGACGCATATTGGTTTTGTTTTAATGTAAATTTTTTTTTTTTTAAACACAGTAACAACTGGTTTTTCATTATATCATGGGTGCAGTGTTTGTTAATTTTCTTTTTTTGAGTTGGTTGACGAATTTAGCATGGTTCTCTTGAGAATGCTTTACTGAAATTACCTGTGTCCTGTTTTATTTGTTGCCAATGAAGGCTTGCCCAGTCTTGAAAATGTTTAGACCTATGCCTCTTTTAGTTGATGCAGATTTGGCTTAACCCTGTATATTTTAAAATCTCCTGTTTGTGATGGAATCCCTTAGATGTGTTTAACACATGTGCTTTATGATTGTTCTATTCATCAAGATACAATTATTTTCTCACTTATGTGGGTCCTTGTGAAGCTATTGATCTAATGACATTTTATCTTATATCAATCAGTTAACATCAGAGGAGAAGCTGGTCCTACGGCTTGAAAAGGAGTATCCGGGTGATGTGGGTGTGCTGGCAGCTTTCCTTATGAACTATGTAACGCTAAACCCTGGTGAAGCATTATGCTTGGGGGCAAATGAACTACATGCATATGTATCTGGTGATTGCATTGAGTGTATGGCAACTTCAGATAATGTTGTTCGGGCTGGTTTAACTCCCAAAAAGAGGGATGTTAAAACATTATGTGATATGCTCACATACAAACTGGTAAGCTCTTGGTATACTTGCTTGAATGTTTGAATCCTGCTTTACTACGGAGTATTTAGTTTTAGTTTGCATTGTTCTTGGTGCAATCCCTGAGTGATGTGTTGGTACTTAGGTGGGGAATATCAGTGCTTTAAAGTTTAAAGTGACTTCTATCTTTTTCTGATCACTTCCTTTAGATAATGGTTTCACACCGCACGTCAGTTTTTTTGGTGCATGAATTTTAGTTTTATTTAACAGTTTTATACTATTGTCATTTTATGTAGGTTACAGCAGTAGTTAGGACAGGTTGAGGCTGGCAAAGTTTTCTGTGTTGTTCTTGGCCAAATTTTGTTTTCCTCATTTCATTTTTAATTTGAATCGTATTGATGAAACTCGGTTTTTGGTAGGAAGTTGTACACAAGCAATTATGGGCTGTGATAAGACATTAGTTTTGTATATCATCAAAGAAGTATATCTAACTGTACTCATCTGATTTTCAGGGCCGACCCGATATACTTAGGGGCTTCAACGTAGAGGGTACTAATGGAGTCACAAAAAGGTACCGTCCTCCATTTGAAGAGTTTGAGGTTGATCATTGTGATCTTCCTGAAGGAAAATCGACAAAGTTTCCGTCAATGGCTGGTCCATCGTTATTTTTGGTCACTGAAGGGACTGGAATAATCAAAACAGCCTTTTCTGCGGAGATGGTAAGAGTAGGTGATGTGTTATTTGCACCAGCGAATACAAAGATAACCATAGAATCTTCTGGTAGAAGGTTGCAACTGTACCGAGCTGGAGTGAACAGTAAATTCTTGTGATCTGAAGGCTAAGTTGCATAATTTTTCAGATTTTTTTGGGCAGCCCCTAATGCATCATAATTTCACTATTTTGAGATTAATGTATCTATGTATTTGTTGATTTTAAGCAAAAGGGCTTCTGTTGTACACATGCTACACAAAAAAATTATATAGTAAAAAGTAGTAAGAGAAATTTCTTACATCTCCTTCCTCTTTTGTGTTGTATTTAGTTTGCTTCCCATCTGCACAAATATATTTGCTCTGAGCAAACTTAAAGTGAAAAAAACTTGCCAGAATTAAGCTAATGAATGGTGGAATACTATTTTGAAAGCACGAAGTATATAAATTGTGTGATTAGAGAAATTATCGCGTGTTTTTGAACTTTACCTTTCACGGTCCAACAAGATTACCACATTCTACAATACTTTTGACTATTGATGATTGAAGATATTGTTAACTCATCACTGCAAACTCATTTCATGATCAAGATACTGATACTGAAGATAGAAGGGCAAATTGGCTTGAAAAAACAAGTACGAAGTGTGGTTTGTCATTTTTTTATCCAAACGAAGATTTGCCTTCAGAAGTCGAATACCCATTATACGAGTTATGCAAGTACATGAGTGAACCATTTAGGGCTATTGCCATCAGAAGTGGTGACGAAATTTTGCAGTGCACAATTGATGTTTCAGTTCGTAATACTAATTCAACTATTATACAAGTAGCAATTAGTGCCGCTTTCATCGTGGTTGGAAAACTAATATAATGTTAAAAGAAAAACCTATCAATTAGTGCCGCTTTCATCGTGGCCTGCTTTTTATGATTGCCACATCTAAGAACAGTGACTTCAACAAGTTCAAACAACCAGATACAATTACTCCATAAAACTATATTATTCAAACTAAATTAAAATACAGATCCAATGATTATCTCAATCACAATAACAGATTCAACCAGTTTCCCAGTTGGGCTATATCACAGCAAAAGGATGTGCCAGTACCCAGTTTGCTTAGCCTTTTGAGGCAGAAGATTTCAAGGATCAGTAAACATTGTTTTCTAACCTTCAAAGCAAACCACAATTCCTTTCACAGACAACATAACAGCATTTCGTCGTATAAATACCATACACCCAATTATGCTTTTAACACCCAAACTACACTCCTTAAGTTCATGTGCGTAATAAAACCAAATAGCGATGTGCAAATATGCAGTCCAGGAATAAGGTTGTTTAGGACACAATCATCAAGAAATCATAGCAGGCTAGCAGTTTTAGCTCCAAAAAAGATAGATGTTCTACAAACACTTTCAAAAGCTCAATCTTTGGCAGAAGAGAAAATCTCATAATTGTACTTCTGTTCCTAATTAACAATGCAATTCAAGGTGGATCAAAACTTAATAAGTAGTACTAAAAATAGACAAGATTTGCAATTGGTAGCACAAAACTCTGATGACATCCTGATTGCAAGCTTAAGCCTCTGGGTATTCAAATACTACATCCTTTCCGCAAAGCTTCCTGTAGACGGCAGAAAATGTCTCTAGCTTGTACTCCGTATCGTTCTTGGCTTTGGGGTCCAAGAATACCTGCCCATCAACAAGCAGTTTTACATCAAAATATGTAACCAAAATTTCAAAACCTGAGCTCCAACTGAACACAGTGCAGTTAAATATACATGCAAGTCTTATAATACCTTCATGATCTTGGATCCATCTAGACGGTATCTGCAACGCTTCCCAACAATCTCAGCAGGCTGCACAAGATCCTCAAGGATGTTCTCGTGCACTGAAGTGAGAGTACGGGATCTGGGACGCTTGGCTGCAGAACCCTTCTTTGGGGGCCTCACAATCCTTCTGGTGGCAATGAAGACAACATCCTGGAGAAATAGCAGAATAAGAATGGATAAAAGGTAAGAAAAACAAATCAAACATAACTCAATATTAACACTGTAATATTTGATCACATCACTCTACCCAATAAATGTCAAACTAGAAATGTTTCGTATGGATACATCAGAGATCACAAAGCGAAGGCCACACAACATATTTGCCAGCTAAGCTAGCCAGCAACAACAGCTGATAAAATAGGAACAATAACACTAGCAATTCTACAAGATGTCCAAAGTAGATATCCATAAAAATCACCAGCCTTGGTGTGATCAAGCAGCACAATAATAGTTCCCAGTTAGAAGAAAATAAAGCCCAATAATAATATGATGCTTACAAACAGTCTATACAGCTTAATCTTACATAGCCTAATTGGAAATGACTACATGCTGTTATCACAATGGAAGGGACAATATATATGGAAGAATTCAATCCATTGACTAAACATGATAAGCGATCAAGTAAAGTAAGTCGAAAATACCTTGCCACTGAACTTCTTCTCAAGCTCTCTCACCAACCGGCTGTGAATTTTGCGGAAAGATTTTCTCAATCTGTAAGGGACATGGATAACAACAGCCTTTTTGTTGTTGGAAATGTCAACTTGGCTGCACATTGATAATGGAACATTATTAAACCTCAAGTCACACAAAGACCTCTCAAGTCATGAGCATACAGATCAAGCAGCACTTACGCAGCAGAGTTGATAAACAGATCCTTCAAATCAAGTCCGAGTTCCTTGTTGGTGGTCTCAAGGTCAAAAATAGCCTATAAAAATAATAATTTCTCAATTATAGCTTGTTTCTCAGTGAATTCAATCACAACTAGCCACATAACAATAAAGCAGCTTAATGCAAGCAAACGCTACCTGAGCAACAGTCTCCTCGAATTCAGTTGGGTCTACACCCTTATCTTTCTGAATCTTCCTCAAAGAAGTAAACATTTTGACAAAGCTGAAACACAAAAACAAAGCACAATACAAATCAGCTTAAGTCACACAGTACTTGACTGGCAAATGCCATCTTAAAATCAAGTAGCATTTGATCATTCGACCCTGATTCCCCTAACAATCAAACCATTGCCACTGGTATAATGCACATCAAATGGTTATAATTTTTAATGGTCCACAATCATTCGAGGTTAACAGGTGATCAGGACCTACTGATTGGTATTATACAAAAACAAGGTCTAACATTTTAATGAAAAGGTAATCATTTTCATATATTTAGTCCAATACAAATCTATCAAACTATTATCTTCCAAATTATTCAATTTGATAAAAACTCAATTAACACATTTATTCCAAATACTTCTCTTAGATAATGAATGCTAATTCTAAGTTTTTAACGGTACTACCAAATAATTCCAGCAAAAACTCATATCATAATATCTCCCAAATAGCAATATATTACCATGAAATCAAAATCAATACAATTCTAATAATCGAAGCCGAAAACAATAAAAAGAACAATTTCATTAAATCTAACATCATAATATTAAAACGCAGTAAAATTAAACCCAGATAATCAAAGATGCAAAATTTCCAACTTCTAAACCCTAGAATCAAAATTTATAAAAACTCGAGCATAGAATACAAATCCAATTCTACATTTTACTAAACCCAAACACAAAAAACCAAAAACGAAATGCATTGAACAAACCCAGAATCTGCAAACCCAGAAATTGAATGCAACCCAATTGAAGAACAGGAATAGCCAGAAAGTAAGAATACGTACCAGAAGTCGGGGATCTCAGGGAGGAGAGAGAAAAACCCTAGCAGGGGAGGAAGAGAAGCTGCTGCAAATAGAGCGAAAGAGAACAGAGAAGGGTTGAAGGCTGAAATGTAGGGTTTATATGAGAAGCCTCTTTTTTAGATGGAGACTTATTTACCCTAGAGATCGACGGCTACGATTCATGCCTTTTCTCTCTCCTGGGCTTGGCCCATTTTTACTTCTTTGGGTTTTCGGGTTTTATCAACTTATTTTTATAAGAAGGCCAAAGTTTACGATAATTTTGTTTAAAAAATTGTTCTCGTTTGACCGGTACACTTGTCAATGTGAAACTTTAACTAATACTCCGTACGAAATAATATTTTTGTTTTTAAATGAGAACTACTAGTACGGAGTATAAGAGCATCTCCAATGGTAAGCTACAAAGGCTTGTAGCTTGCTTTGTCATGTTAATTTTTAAGGCTACAACCTATTTAAGCTACAAAGTACTCCAATGGCAAGCTACAAGAAGTTGTTGCTTGATTTGCCACATCATTATTTCAAGCTACAAAGTATTCCAATGGTTAGCTATATAATTTTGTAGCTTGCATGTAATACTTTATTTACTACACTATATGAGCTGAAAATTTCATTGCTATTTTACTTACTTTTACCAAAAAAATTCTAATTTATAATATAATTTTATAAGTTGTGCCTGCTATCAATATTAAAATTTATATGCAATAATTTATATAATTTCATATAAGTTGTTTTGTACTCGTATTATAAGACGACTTGCTTGCGATTTAATTATTTGAGCTTGTACGAAGTATTTAATATTTTCATCAAGAGAATTGATAACCTTTTTCATTTTAATAAAAAATAAAAAATTATTGATAACTTTTCTCCCTAAATTTATTTGCATATTTTATTATCAACATTTGACAATACAACTAAATAAAACTAATTAACAAAACAACATTCCTTAAACAAACAAAAAAACAACTTAGCAACTTAAGATCAATTCAAGTTATAGCTACCAAAACGTGACCAAATATGCTCAACTAAATCAGCCTTTAGCTGGTGATGCATTTGTTTATCTCGGATTGTTGCATCTCTTTCAAGATATGAGTCAAAATTCTCTTCATGTCCTTGATGCACATCATCAACAACACTTGGTGAAAATTCATTCTTAGGAAAGTTTTTGTTATAAGTGTGACGCTCGTCTTCAACAATCATATTATGTAATATAATACACGCATCCATAATACCGTGGATATTGCGTTTATGCCAACAACGTGCAGGCCCACGAACTATAGCAAAACGAGATTGGAGTACCCCAAATGCCCTCTCAACATCTTTCCTTGCACTCTCTTGCTTTTCCTTAAACAAAAGCCTCTTCGGGTCCCGAGGATGGTAGCTTGACATGTTGTCTTGCAAATTAGGCATTGTAGTATTGGGATAATAGTAGCTAGGGTGGTAGTGTGTTTGAGGGTAGGAATTTTCAGAGGTGAAATTTCCACTATTTGATGAATTTCCCAAACCAAAATGTTTACTAAATGGATTATCCGTATCATCCATCCAAATTTTTTACGAGGAATTAATCGTAGATATGAAAGTATTTGTAGATTATGTTTTTTTGAAACAATATACTGGTTGTATTCTTAAGGTTAAAAAACTTATTTATAGATGTATTAGCTAATAATTCAAAGTTAAATATGGTTACCAAATATTGTACATTGGCTAAAATTTTGGCAAAATCTTTTATTGACAAAGTCTAATTTGTTATCATATATAACGTAATCAAAAAATTTAAATTTTAAAATACCTATAATCTTGTACAAGTGATCTTACGAATATAATGAATGTTACTAAATTTTTTAACAAAAAGAATAAAACAAAGTATACCTATAACCTATAAGCTAGGAAGCACATTAGTCAACATTAGCTAGAGCATGTCAGTTACACCTTCTGATAAAGATGAAAAATTGATTTTAAAATGTTTTTTTTTAGAAAAAGATAAAAAAAAAAAAAAATAAATTGTTGCATTATCTTTTGAGCAATTGTAGATCACGTAGAGCATTTCCATTAGCCGTGCATACCACTCTCCAATTTTTAAAAATAATATATAAATCTTGAAAATTTCCAAGCAGTGTTGCTCAAGTGAGCAGTGCTGCTCTTCCAAGCAGGTATGTCAATTTTGTTCCAATGGTCAAGCTACAATTTTAATATTTTTAAATATTGCAAGCAAGACCCTAAAACTAACCATTGGAGATGCTCTAAGAAGTTGACATGTGGAAAATTATATGTTGAAGTGGTTTAGCAAGTATTCACATAAATATGTTTGATCTTATGTATAAAGCATCAACATCAATTCATGTGATGTGTTTGAATATTGCAAAAATCAAACTAAAAATTTATATTAAAACGGACAAAGTATTATTTTTATTAGGTAAGAATCCGATCATTCGGTTTGAGTAATGTAAGGGCCTAATTACATTTACTGAACTAAGATGAACTAAACTGGTTGGAGTTGAACTGAACTAATAGAGCTGGAATGAATATTTTATGAGTGAGGGAGGAAATTAGAAGTTGAACTGAACTGGACTGAATAGAGCTGAAATAAATACTTTATTAGAGAAGAAAATTAGGAGCTGAACTAAACTAAATAGGGATGAAATGAATATTTTATGAGAGAGGGAAATTAGGAGCTCAACTAAACTGAACTAAACTGAAATGAATAGAGCTGAAATGAATATTTTATGAGCGAAGGAAATTAGGAGCTGAATTGAACTGACTGTAGCTAAATTGGAGTGAAATTAAGCTGAAGTGAACAAGTCCTAGGAGTGGAAAGTCATGGTTGGGTGTTTTCTTATTTGACAGTTAATACAAGTAGCTTTATTATGGAGTACTAGCCGTTTTCAGTTTTTGATATAATTTTATTCTATCCGAGTATTTAGATTTAAGTACCGTTTAGATATGGTTCGAATGAGTTTAATCAAGTCAACATGAATAGATTACAACGCGTTTTAAGACTCGGCGATGCTTTGTTCATTTTATATTTACTTATTAATATTCTAAATTAAGTGAATAACATCAAATACTACATGCTTTGATGGTTAAAATATTAAGAAATAAAACTAAGCCAACTAGCCAATTTCAGGTGTGGGAAATTTAAAACATTATGTAGTATTTGTTTTGAGGCTACTTTCACGTTAACAAACCATCTTGTAACAAATTATTTCCATCAATTAGTTTTATAACATATAATTGAATTTAAGTATTTTAAAAGTGACAACTTTCCCCAATGTTCTACTCTATAATATACTCTCTCTGTCCCTTAAGGCCTTAACTACATGTCTATTTCTCTCTATTATGTGAATAATAAATGATAGAAATAGGCACGTAATTAAGGGACGGAGAGAGTATCAATTTTTTTCTAGCGAGCAAGTAATATATTAATAAATGGCAAACCATTAAGGCAATAACTACTCTGTTATTCCAAATTAATGCCACAAGGGTATTTTTATGCTTGTTTTTTCATTTGGAGAATTCTGAAGAGGCAAAGAAAAGCTCCATTGGACATATGCTGAAGAATAGATCGATGATTGTAACAATGGAGCTTTTCTTTGCCATCCTGATGTTACTATGCTCTATTGTTGCTTACTTGCTTGATGCAGTGATTATGATAAAGAAAACACACAATCAATTACTCGTCTGATAAAGTCACAAGTCTATTACAATAAGTATTCGAATCGTTTATAGACTATGATTCTTGCATCTATCAATGATATACACATAGTTCTTGGCTATAGTTAGAAGCTTAGAACCACTTGACAGATGATAGAAGGTTACCAACAATAAAATTCCAGAACAAAAAGTTAATAATGCAATGTTTGACTAATTACAACTCACTGAGCTTCTAAGAAGCCACTGAACTAAAATAAACATTCACAAAAAAAATCCCTTGTCTCAGGAGTCAATAGTCCTTAACCAGGAAAGAATAACATTGGCACCTTTCTCCCAAGAACAATCCAGCATCATATCGTGTGCAACTCCATCCACGCAGATGGGAGAGACACCATAGAATTTACCCGTTTCATCAAGCCCTTTGGCATCCTACAAGGATATTAATTATTAATCATCCCACATTCTTAATGACAAATAAAATCATAGAACAAGAAACAAAACCAGCAAAAGCAGAGGACCTAGGTGCAGATCATCTAGTGCAGAATGTGGATTATAAGGGATGACGTGAAAATTAAGGAGCATCTAGAAAACAATTATACCACTATAAAGTCATCTCTTGCACCCACAACGAGAACTTTAACAGAAGACTCAGGCACTGAAGGAACAGGAAGAGAAGCGTTTAGCTTCCTCAAATCAAACAAAGGCAGCCTTGAGCTCTCTTTCATCAACATTTGATACCTGGAGTATCACTCAAAGTCGAAGTCTTAAAAACACAATGTAAAGCTAAGTTGGATATCACATGGAGTGTGCATAACAAGCATGTACAATAAGGCAAACTATCCAGCTAACCTTTGGACCAGGTTGTCGTCCATCTGCGTGGAGAAAAATGTTTCTTTGCAAAGTGACAAATCGGTCTGAAAAGCTTTTGCTGCTAAGCTGCGAGTAACCTACCAAAAGTAGAAAGTAATTAAGATTTCTCATCGTTATACAGCATCATATTGGGGTTTGAAAGGAGAGCGGCATTGGCAGAATGGTCACCCAACTAAATTTAACAAGTGTTTTTTCTGTTATTTCAAATTAGGTGGACCAAATATCAGTAGTTCAGTACAGGTCAATTAAAATTGGTGATTGAGATAGGGCTAGCAATGACCAGTAAAATTGTAGTAAGGAACTTCGTAGTTGACAAACACCAAGTACATCTTTTCCTGACAAAGGTACTAGTAGTTTTGGCATAGATAGGCAATATAGTCAGATTACAGGGAGGAAGAGTGATGAGTGATGGACATAGGAGGTGGCATCTGGCATGCAGACACCAATGAAGCATTGGACAATCCCAACCCCATTAATCATTTGTACTATGTAGCAGCACTCTGCAGATTTGAAATTAGAATTGGTTGTCCAAGGGTGGAGGATCAAGGTTTTTTTATTAATTTTTTATTTCATATATATATTTTTTATTACGCCATAATTTTGCTCAATAAGTTGATGCACAAGTTCAGAAGAACTTTTGAGCTATGAAATTCCCCTCAACTACAGCATCAGTTCAGAGTCGCTCCAAACTAGGAAGGTAAGATACTGCCATCTTAGACAAAAACTTGATCCTTGCATCCTTTCAGTAAGAATTTTGAGGCAATTACTTTTCTAGCTCACTGTAATAGCTGGTTTGACCCATGGTTTGTATTTTGTAATAGAAAGTCTCATTGCAAAATTTTCAAAATGTTAAACTGAAATTTTGAAATTTTTAAGAGCAAGAGTTTCCACTAGTCAATAACTTTTTCTGTAAGGTTCAGCGATACATATTACACGAATTATGGAGTACAAAGTAAATTATGAGTATTGTAGATTTTCTAACAGGTGCTTCTGATACTAAAAATATTTTGTGAAACACCATTATGCAAAGGTACAGAACTACAGACAGTCAGACATTCGTCAAAAAAAAAAAAAAAAAAAAAAAAAAAAAAAAAAAAAAAAAGAAAAAGAAAAAGAAAAAGGCACAGACATCAACTCGGGAAGGGGTTTTAGAGATCCTAAGAGGAAAGGGGAAAAAAAAAACCTTAAGCATGCATGACCATGATTTATGAGGTTTTTTATATATATATATAATCATCTATTATAATGCTGGTTTCTGACAACCATTTAACAGCGTATAATGATTAAATTAAATCAATAAATAAACCTAAGAAGCAGGCAAAGACCAGTATAACAAATACTAAGAGAAGGCAATACCTTGAAAGCAGCAATTGGTTTGGAAAAGAGATATCTCCACACTAAGCCACTACACAACAGAAGTCACAAGATACTATTAGAATATTTAGAAAAGATAGCTTATAAAGAATACAATCGAGAGGGGAAGGAAAAATCATCACCTATTACCCGACGGTGGCACAGAGCAAACAAGTACAGCTCCCGCAAGATCTGGGTGTTGATTGCTCATATCTGGCAACAAAGGCTGTAAGTATTAGAATCATTGATCATATTCCAAAATGGAACATGCAATTACTACCTTGCAAGTGAATAAAATTCTGTTGGAAAAAAAAGCTTGTTGAATTTTCCAGCTAGACGATTTCATGCACGTTGATTCTTTGTAAGGATACGACTCTTTCTTCAGCTAACTACTAATATATGCTCTCAAATATAAGGAACATTATTATCAAAGCAACATCATCACAACATCTCAGAGAAGAGACAGCTAGGTTTCATCTCTCAAAGTTTAATAAACAAGACACTATCACAATATCTTCAAGATTTCATACATTATGCGAAACAACAGACGGTAGTACGGTACTAAAGGAAGGAACATGAAACCACCTAACATCTGCTTGTTTCCTAGGCTTGATAAGTAATATTGAACGATAAGACCTCCAAATGAATGTCCAACCAAAACAGCAGGAGGTGTAAGTTCTTTCTTGATAAAGTGTGCAACATCAGCTGCATGTGTCTACTGAGCAATACAGATTCCAGAATAGTAAGATGACCTCATTAAGATGTACAAAATAAGCTTTCATATATCAGACAGTTGCAGTTGGAAAACTTTTGATGTTCAGAAGAGGGGATAGAGAGGAGGAAGGTACCGCGAATGCATTACCTGAAGAGTGCCAGCAACTTTATCAGCAGGAGCATCACTCTCACCCTGGCCAAAAGCAGAAATCACATAAGCAAAGACTCACTTCAGCAACCAATCAAGCTTAGTGATGGAAGAGAGAATCCCTTACTTTTCTAATCCAATAACTAGGGGTGGTAAGAGCCTAGTTGAGCTCAGGTCGAAAATACTAAAAAAGAAAACTAAGCTCAACTTAACAGGCTAGAGTTTCTTTAAATATGTAATATTTTGTATATAGTACTATACATTTGACTTGGCTTTACACAATACTTTTGAGGTCTTTAAGTGTGCATAAACTTATTATTAGCAATCTTATAACCTCAATATATTAATGTATTATACTTCGTATTTTTCTTATTGCTATTCTCAAATTTGAGTTTAAAATTATATTGAAACTTTTCCTGAGCTATTCATTCTAGGCTCAAGCTGAGATATAACTCGTGAAGATGTAAGTGTTAGAAGCAAAGCTACCTACCCTGACTCCCTGACCTTGAGCTCAGCTTGACCTGTTATCATCCAACAACATACTTGATACTTCTATACTAATCTAGCATCCTATTCTACAGTGTCTCATTGATATGCAATCATCAGCTTTCAATAAGCTAAAATTTAACACAATCCCAGTGATCAAATGCAGTATTTTACTTTCGTGCCACGAATTTGATGACTTTGATAGGGCATACATACATTTTAGAATTATGATAAATCACTTGCATAAGTGCAAATGCACCATATGCAACATACTCAAACCCAATACATACAAAAAATACAACCCAATTTTATTCAAGAGAGGCAAAAGAAACAGTACATTAGTACAACAAGTCACAAATGCTATCATAAACAATTTTATCAAACTAATGGCAATAAACAATACAATCATCACCAAAAACCACAAGAATCAAGATGTCAATATAATGGCCAAAACTTCCAAAATTTCTCAAAAAGCGTGGATATTAACCTTCAGTTTTGGAATTTTCTGACTTTTTTTTACTCGGAAATAAAAATTTCCGAAATGTTTACCATGGTCCCTAAAACCCTCCGAGAGTCCAATTGCCTAAGTGGAACCATCCAATTTGCCTTTAAACGACTAATTTACCGGTTTACTACTGATTTCATTAACTCAAGCTTACCACGAAAATTTTGACGACATATGATGATCATATATGGATCCAAACGGCATTATATGACCCCGAGATGTATTCCCTAAAATCTCATTTTATTTTGACACCATCGCCGAAACATTTGAAATTTCTCAAAAAACGTGGATATTAGCCTTCACTTTTGGAATTTTCTGACTTTTTTTTACACGGAAATAAAAATTGCCGAAATGTTCACCATGGTCCCAAATACCGTCTGGAAGTCCAATTGGGTGGGTGGAACCATCCCATTTGCCTTTAAACGACCAATTTACCGGTTTACAACTTACACCGATTTCAATAATTCAAGCCTACCACGAACATTTATGACAACAAATAATGATCATATTTGGTTCCAAACGACATTATATGACCCTGAGATGTATTCCCTAGAATTTAAAGACTTTTCGATACCAGGCCCGAAGACTCCTAAAATTCTTAAAAAGCGTGGATATCCTTCAATTTTTTAATTTTTTGACTTTTTTTTCGTCCGGAAATAAAAGTTGCCGAAATGTTTACCTTGGTCTCTAACACTCTTCGGGAGTCCAATTGGGTGGGTGGAACCATCCAATTTGCCTTTAGACGATTAATTTACAACTTGCGTCGATTTCATTAACTCAAGCCTACCACAAACATTTTTGACAACATATAATAATCATATATGGTTCCAAATAGCATTATATGACCCCGAGATGTATCCCTTAAAATCTAGGCTTTTCGACAACGGGCCGTGAAACCTCCAACATTTCTCAAAAAGCGTGGATATTAGCCTTAAATTTTGGAATTTTTTTACTTTTCTTCGCTTGAAAATAAAAATTGCCGAAATGTTAACCATGGTCCCTAATACCCTCCGGGAGTCCAATAGGGTGGAAGGAACCATCCTATTTGCCTTTATACGGTCAATTTACCGGTTTACAACTTGCACCGATTGAATTAATTCAAGCCTACAACGAACATTTATGACAACATATAATGATCATATATGGTTCCAAACGGCATTATATGACCCCGAAATGGATCCCCTTAAATCTCAAAACTTTTCGACACCGGGCCTTGAACCATCCCAAATTTCTCAAAAAGGGTGGATTTTAATTTTGGAATTTTATGACTTTTTTCGCTCGGAAATAAAAATTGTCGAAGTGTTTACCATGGTCCCAACTACCATCCGGGAGTTCAATTGGGTGGGTAAAACCAACCAAATTGCCTTTAAACGGCCAATTTACCGGTTTACAACTTGCACCGATTTAATTAACTCAAGCCTACCACGAACACTTATGACAACATATAATGATCATATATGGTTCCAAATGGCAATATATAAATCTCAAAACTTTTCGTACCGGGCCTCGAACCATCCCAAATTTCTCAAAAAGCGTTAATTTCAATTTTGGAATTTTTTGACTTTTTTTCGCCAATTGCTGAAATGTTTATCATGGTCCCAAATACCCTCCGGGAGTCCAATTGGGTGAGTGGAAGTAACCAATTTGCCTTTAAATGGCCAATTTACTAGTTTACAACTTGCACCGATTTCATTAACTCAAGCCTACCAAGAACATTTATGACAACATATAATGATCATATATTGTTCCAAACGGCAATATATGACCTCGAGATGTATCCCTTGAAATCTATAGAATTTTCGACACTGGCCCGGAAACCTCCAAAATTTCTCAAAAAGCGTGGATATAAGCCTTTAATTTTGAATTTTTTTACTTTTTTTCGCCGGAAATAAAAATTGCCGAAATTTCTACCATTGTCCCTAATACCCGCCAGGAGTCCATTTGGGTGGGTGGAACCATCCGATTTGTCTTTAAACGACCAATTTACCGGTTTACGACTTGCACCGATTTCATTAATTCAAGTCTACCACGAACATTTATGACAACATATAATGATCATATATGGGTTCCAAACGGCATTATATGACCCCGAGATGTATCCCCTAAAATCTTAAAACTTTTCGACACCAAGTTTCGAAACATCCCAAATTTATCAAAAAGCGTGGATTTCAATTTTGGATTTTTTTTTTTAACTTTTTTATCCCCGGAAATAAAAATTGTCGAAATGTTTATCATAATCCCTAATACCCGCCGGGAGTCCAATTGGGTGGGTGGAACCATCCAATTTGGTTTTAAACACCAATTTACCGGTGTACAACTTGCACCAATTTCATTAATTCAAGCCTACCAAAAACATTTATAACAACAAATAATGATCATATATGGTTCCAAACGGCATTATATTACCTCGAGATATATCCCCAAAAATTTCAAGACTTTTCGACACCATGCCCTCAAATCTCCAAAATTTCTCAAAAGTGTGGATATTAAGCCTTTAATTTTGAAATGTTTTTGACTTTTTTTTTTCCCAGAAATAAAAATTGCCGAAATGTTTACTATAGTCCCTCATATCCTCTAGGAGTCCAATTGGTTGGGTGAAACCATCCAATTTGCCTTTAAACAGCCAATTTACCGATTTACAACTTGCATTGATTTCATTAATTCAAGCCTACCACGAACATTTATGACAACATATAATGATCATATATTTCTAAACGGCATTATATGACTCCGAGATGTATCCCCTAAAATCTTAAGCCTTTTCAACATCAGGCCCCGAAACCTCCAAAATTTCTCAAAAAAACGTGGATATTAGCCTTCAATTTTTTAATTTTTTGACTTTTTTTCGTCCGCAAATAAAAATTGCCGAAATGTTTACCATGGTCCCTAATACCCTTTGGTAGTACAATTAGGTGGGTGGAACGATCCAATTTGCCTTTAAACGACCAATTTACTGGTTTACAACTTAAACCGATTTCATTAAGTCAAACCTACCACGAACATTTATGACAACAAATAATGATCTTATATGGTTCCAAACAGCATTATATAACCCCTATATGTATCCCCAAAAATTTCAAGACTTTTCTACACTGGGCCGCGAAACCTCCGAAATTTCTCAAAAAGCTTGGATATTAGTTTTCAATTTTTTTAATTTTTTTTTTCGCCCGAAAATAAAAATTGCCAAAATGTTTTTCATGGTCCCTAATACCCTCCAGGAGTTCAATTGGGATGGTGGAACCATCCAATTTGCCTTTAAACGGCCAATTTAATTACCGGTTTACAATTTGCACGGATTTCATTAACTCAAGCCTACTACGAACATTTATGACAACATATAATGATCATATATGGTTCCAAACGGCATTATATGATCCCGAGATGTATCACCTAAAATATTGGCCGTTTAATTTTTGAAATTTTTGAGAAAAGCGTTGATATTAGCCTTTAATTTTGAAATTTTTTGATTTTTTTCGCCCGGAAATAAAAATTATCGAAATGTTTACCATGGTTCCTAATACCCTCCATGAGTCCAATTGGGTGGGTGGAACCATCCAATTTGCCTTTAAACGACCAAATTACCGGTTTACAACTCGCAGCGATTTCATTAATTCAAGCCTACCATGAACATTTATGACAACAAGTAATGATCATATAAGGTTCCAAACGGCACTATATGACCCCGAGATGTATCCCATAGAATTTCAAGACTTTTCAACATCGGGCCCTGAAACCTCCAAAATTTCTCAAAAAACGTGGAAATTAGACTTCAATTTTGGAATTTTTTGACTTTTTTTTCGCTCGAAAATATAAATTGCCGAAATGTATACCATGGTACCTAATACCCTCCAGGAGTTCAATTGGGTGTGTGGAACCATTCAATTTGCTTTTAAACGGCCAATTTACCGGTTTACAACTTGCACCGGTTTACCGGTTTACAACAGCCAATTTAATTAACTTGCACCGAACCCGACTTGAACCGTAATTTACCCAAACCCGTTCCAAACCGTCAAAACCCGACTTGTTACGAACCTGGCCTGAATTCAACCCGACCCGTTCCTAACCCGACCCGAATTTAACCCAACCTGTTACAAACCCGACCCGAAATCAACCCGACTTGTTATTGACCCAAGCCGAATTTTACCATACCTATTACTTACCCAATCCAAAAATTCAACCCGATGTGTTACTAACCTGACTCGATAACACGACTTGTTATCACCTTAAATTTAATTTAAACCACCTATTATTGTTGATCAAAGCATTTGTCTTGGGAGACCAAGTCGGTGAGGCCAACAAAAGAAAGGAGCATCATCCTCAAGTTTAAGGGTTAAATATAGTATATATTTGTTGTATGGTCAAAGGAGATAATTATCTTCCTAAATTATAGACTATAATTCCCTAATATATTGTCATATATATTATTGTCAAAGGAAATAATTATCTATTTATACTTAGTTGAAACCAAATATGACATGACTTGGAAATGACCCGATCTGATTATAACCTGCAAATTATTGACTTGAACATAACCTGACTTGAATCTGAGAATAATCCGCAAATTATTGACTTGAACAGAACTCGACTCAAACCCGAGAATGACCCGACCTGATTCTAACCCGCAAATTATTGACTTAACCGAACCCGACTCGAATCCGAGAAATACCCTAACCCGTTTTAACCCGTAAAAACCCGAATTAAACCCGACCTATTGTTCACCCGAATATAACCCGACCCGTTTACCCGAATTAAAAGCTCTATATAAGCTAAAAAATAAGTATACTTATACTATACAATTACCCTTTTCAATTTTCATGATATTAAGCCGTGAACAAAGCCAAAAACTCATCTCAAAATAAAGAAAAATTTGCAAATTGCAGCCATTTAAAGTTCATATTTTGCAAATTGCGGCTATTTAAATTTTTTTTTGCAAATTGCAGCCCAAAAGTTCGAATAAATTGTAAATTGCAGCCCGATTCAATTTTTTCATCGGTTTACATGTTGAAAAATCTTCGGTTAAGGCTTTAGAAGTCATTTTAGCCCTTAAAGGCCCGAATTGAGCTCGGAATTAGAAAAAAAATAACATAAAACCTTCGGTTAAGGCTTTAGGAGTCATTTTAGCCCTTAGGGACCCGAATTGCATTATTTTTTTTTGCTGATTCCGAGCTCAATTCGGATCCTTAAGGGGTAAAATGGTCCCTAAAACCTTAATCGAAGATTTTTCAACTTGTAAAATGATGAAAAATTTGAATCGGGATGCAATTTACGATTTACACGAACTTTTTGGCTGCAATTTGCAAAAAAAAAAAATTAAAAAAATTTAAATGACTGTAATTTGCAAAATACGAATTTTAAATGGCTGCACTTCACAAATTTTCCCAAAATAAAATTACGAAAAATTGAGAAGACAACTGACCTGAGCAAGCAAGCTGAGGGCAAAACAGTCAAAGCCATGATGAGAAAAGAAAGGCAACCAATGTTCAGCCCAACACCAAGCACCATGGAAACTACCATGGACAAATACAAGCGGCGGACTTTCTCTCTCTTCTTCATCTTCTTTCCTTCTCTGTTTCTTCATGGAAATTACCTCCATTTTTAACCCAGATGAGAGCTCGTGAAACTGACGATTCTGCCCTTGTTTTAGCTCATATTGCACTCCCATTTTGTACCCAGTTGGGCTGAGAATTGCCAGGGGTTTTACTGAAATTTTAGAGGATGGTGGGAAGGTTTTGGAAAGAGGAAATGAAGGGAGACAGATTGTAGCTGCCATTGTTATGTCGGAACTAAGCTAATTGTGATATGTGACTAATGTGAGTTTGTGACGAAATTGGAGTTGGAATGGAACTTTGAATTCTTGGAATGGAGTTGCTATTTACCCACAAAACAATTACTAGAGGTAGCCATCAAGCCGGCCTAAGCTAGATTGGGTTGGGTTGGGTTAAATTGGAAAACTAGACATGGAATCGCATCTACTACTAATTAGTTTGTGAGTTTATTATACGGGTTAGTTTAGGCACCTAATTTGTTGTAAATTATGATGGCCTATGAAAGTTTTATGAGTCGACAAGTGGATTTAAATGTTTAAGTTTGTTAATAATATTACAAATTTTTATACTCTGTATGTGTCTGGTTATAATGTGTGTCCGGAATTACTTATGTTGGTGTTACTCACTTAATCACCCCTGAATTAGTAACCTTTAACCGAGTGAGACTTCTGAATAAGTAGTCTCGACCACACAGAATAAGCACCGTAATATTTTAAATATTCAAACTTAGCCGATTTCATTGGCTTCATTTTCAATTTGGGCACAACTCGCAATTGGAGTCAAGTTGAGTTGGTTTGACATTGGGTCAAAGCTAAATGGCCCATTTAATTGGGACGATCTGGGTGGATCATGATAATTCCCTAACTAGTGCCCCATGACCATTTCAACCACAAACACTCACCTAGTCGTCACCCTTACCACCTGCCCAACTAGCTTTCACTTCATATATTTCGTGAATGAAACTATCACTCGTTAATTTATATTCCTTGTTTAATTGACATATTGCAAGTATTCACGCATTTGATAATTTCAATTTTTAGATTACTCTAATTTCATTTAATTCTGTTGTCTTAACTCGACGGAATAAAAAGTCGGGTTCTCGATGTAGGAAAATCACAAACATGATAAAAAGAAACGAGCAAATTGTCCAAAATGCCATTGATGAGAAACGAAAAGTAATACTAATACGCATTATAAGAGTGTATTCCCGATATATATATCCATCACGATCCAAATAATTTAATCGAACAAAAAAAAAAAACAATTACTCCGTATCTATCTATCATCTCATCTATAATTATTCAAGTTAATCACATGATTCGTACCCTATCATCTCGAAATTCTCTATCATTCTCGTATATCAAACACCCCATTAACGCAATAGCCCAAGCCAATATAACAAAGAATTCTAGCCCACATGCCAAAGACCAACCACAAACTTTATGAAATGGTCCAACGACTTAACTCCTAAGTTCGTGTTTCAATCTTCAAAGACTTAAACTTGGGCGAAAACTATTACTCGTACCCAGATACCTGAGAAACAAATTAAAGCAACCATTCATTCATGGCTTTGAAGATGCAAAATAGGAGATTTGTTTCACTTAAATTTTGTTAAATTTCACATTTTATTTTACAATTCCAATTGTTTGAATTTTCTGGGGTTTAACAAGATGATGTCTCCCAAGCCAACTTCTGAGGATCGTCACTCAGTTTATTCCAGGTATAATTTAATTTCAGTCCCTTTTATTACTTTTGCATTGGATTCAGAACTCTAATTTCCGACGATTATTATTAGTTTTAGTATTTGGATTCTTGTGATTTTGTTTAATTTTTGCTCAATTAATGTTATTAGACTGATTAATATACTTGGGTATGTTGAACCTCAATACCCTAGATCATTTATTATTATTATTATTATTATTTTTATTTTTATTTTTTTTATTTTTATTTTTTTTATTTTTTTGTTGGATGTTTTTTAATAATGAGTGATAAAATTGAAAATGGAGGGTATAGTATATTGTGATACAAAAATCTTCAATTGGGAGTTTGAGCTTATCTGGGGTGTTGAGCATTGAGTTTGTCTTACTCTGGAAGTTAGTATTGATTGGAACTTGTAAGTAGTTGTACCCAACTACCTAATTAAGGTGGAATGAATTGAGTTTATTAGCCGAATGGTCTGAACGAGGCCGTTTATTTGAGATGATTTGCTTACAATTGTGTTTTTGCTTCCATTAGTGAAAATAAAGAATGGATTGTTTGATTGGATTTTCCTGGTTAGATAAACATTTTTTGTATTTTTCCTACAGTATATGCTTTTTATTCGGGGTTTTGTTGCCTGGGTCAAATCAGTCTATAATGACTTTAGTGGAAGGAGTTCCCTGGGGTGTACAATCTACTAGGATAATTTTCCGAGGCTCAAAGTTTTATACCACGAGCTACAGACAAGAGATTGAGTCATGGAGGTTTAAAATTAAGAAATAGAAGTAAATTGATTGGTTAGGCTTTAAACTTGAAGGTGTATAGAAGGTGATGTATACATCGTATATTACATTGGGTGGTGACATACAGTACAAGGTGTTGTCTGCAACGGAATGCGTATATAAACAAGGTAATTAGAGGAAAGGTTATATCCTTGATTGATATAAGCTAAAAGCTTGCGTGAGGCGTCAATGGCTTTAGGCCATTACTCTCCAAGTTTGCCAATACACTTTTCTCAATGCCTACTTCTTTAGAGACAGCTACTATTTATACTACTACTACCATACAAAAGTTGGCAAGAGCCTTAATTACAATTTACTTTACTATTTGTCCTCTTTTGGATTTACCACAGTGAATAGCTAATAAGCCAAACGTCTGCCCTGTCTGCCTCCTTGTTTGCTGTAGCTGTTAGTGAGCCGTTGGTAGCTTGTTGTTGGTGTTTTGCTGCTGCCTTGGTCTCCTGCTATAAGTCAGAGTAATTGGTGGCCTTGGGTGTATTGCAATACCGCCCCCCAAGAGTGCCACCTTGTCCTCAAGGTGGAAAGTTGGGAACTGAGCTTGAATGACCGCGGCATCCTCCCATGTGGCCTCAAAGACCTTGCCACTTAATGAGCACTGCATAACCTTGATCACGGCCGGCCTTCAGTTTCACCTCTAACACTGCCTCAGGCTCCACGATTAACTCCACCTCAGGGGTGATTTGCTCCGGTATGGTTGGTGAATTTGGTATGTCTCCAAGGGCCTTTTTCAATTGCGAGACATGGAACACGGGGTGGATGCGGCAGTGTTCTGGCAATGCCAACTTGTAGGCCACCATTCCCACCTTCTGAACTACCTCAAACGGCCCGTAATACCTGGAAGCAAGCTTCTCAAAGGGTCGCCTCGCAAGGGACTTTTGACGATATGGTTGGAGCTTGAGGAAAACGTAGTCTCCCACCTGAAATACCACATCCCTGCGCTTACTATCCTCATTTCGCCTCATAATTTGTTGTGTCCTGATCAAATTCAATTTTAACTCGTCAAGCATTAAGTCTATCTCCCTTAGTACTTCCTCCACCGATCCCACCCTGCCCCCACCCGTATCAGTTTAGGGGGTTCTCTCCCGTAGAGGGCTTGAAAAGGGGTAGTTTGAGTAGCTGAATGGGGGGTCGTATTATAGGAATATTCAGCCCAGGCGAGTCACTTGGCCCAAACTCGCGGCTGTCCTCCAGCAAAACAGCGCAAGTAAGTCTCGAGTCTTTTGTTTACCACTTCGGATTGACCATCCGTTTGTGGGTGATAGGAAGTACTCTTCTTCAGCCCGGTCCCTTGGAGCCTAAATAGCTCTCTCCAAAATGCACTCACAAAGACCCGATCACGATCCGAGACAATGCTGTTGGGAATGCCGTGTAGTCGCACCACCTCCCGAGTAAAAACCTCAGCCACACTAAACGCTGTAAAGGGGTGCTTAAGCCCAATAAAATGAGCATACTTAGTGAGACGATCCACGACCACCAAGATAGTATCAATACCTTTGGAGCGAGGGAGGCCCTCGATAAAATTCATGCTTATGTCCTCCCATACCCGCTCCGGAATCGGGAGAGGTTGCAAAAGGCCACCCGGGGATTGTTGAGAGTGTTTGTTCCGTTGACACACTCCACAATTTCGAACGTACTCAGCCACATCTCTCCTCATCCCCGCCCAAAACCATTCCGCCCCCATCCGCAAATAGGTCTTCGTTTCTCCGGTATGCCCCCCTTCCGGTGAGTCATGGTATGCTTGTAATAAGACTTTCTTCACGGTGGACTGGCGTGGGATAACCACCCTACCCTTAAATAGCAGGCGGAAGTTCTCAATTGAGTATCCGACCACGCCTTCTCCCTTCTCCACTTCCCCCTTTAATTTCTGCAACACCCTCAATTTCCCTCTCTAGCTCTGCCCAATTCACGGATTGTGTTGTGACAAGGGCCTTAAATTCACACTCTCTTTCGCCCTCACCCCTCTTGGAAAGGGCGTCCGCCACCAGGTTGGATACCCCTGGTTTGTACTGAAGGTCAAAGTCGAAGCCTATGAGTTTCCGTACCCATTTCTGGTACTCGGACCCGATCTCTCTCTGCTGCGCAATGAACTTGAGGCTCTACTGGACACTTCTAACTATGAACCTCCGTCCCAATAGATAATGTTTCCATTTTTGGACGGCTAAACACATCGCCATCAACTCCTTCTCGTAGATCGACTTCCCCCGACCTACCGGCCCCAACACCTTACTAAAAAAAGCAACTGGCCGTCCTTCTTGTATCAACACGGCGCCCAAACCAAATCCAGACGCGTCTGTCTCAATCACAAAGACCTTCTCTGGCATGGTGAGGACAGGTGCGGTGGTCATTGCCCTCTTTAATCTCTTGAAAGCTTCTTCTGCCGTGGAATTCCACCCGAAATTATCCCTCTTGAGTTGCTCAGTCAGCGGCTGGGCTATGTGAGCATACTTGCTGATGAATTTCCTATAATATCCCGTCAAGCCCAAGAAGCCCCTTAATTCCTTCAATGACTTGGGCGTGGGCCACTCCACCATGGACTGAATTTTCTCGTGGTCCACTGCCACGCCCTCTTTAGATATAATATGGCCCAGATACGCTACTTTCTCCTTGCCCATTTCACACTTCTTTTTGTTAGCATACAGAGTGTGCTTCTTGAGAGTTGCTAACACGACTTGCAAATGTGTTACATGTTCGGCATGGCTGCCACTATACATAAGGATATCGTCAAAAAACACGAGAATAAATTTACGTAAGAAGGGACGGAATACCTCATTCATCAACGATTGGAATGTGGCCGGAGCGTTGGTTAGCCCGAACGGCATCACTAGAAACTCGTAATGCCCTTCGTGAGTCCGGAACGCGGTTTTATGGGTGTCCTCCGGCTTCACAAGGATTTGATGATAACCGGCCTTAAGGTCTAATTTCGAGAACACGTGAGCCCCATGTAATTCATCCAAGAGTTCGTCAATGACCAGTATAGGGTACTTATCCGGCACCGTCTCCTTGTTGAGGGCTCGATAATCCACACAAAATCGCCACGAGCCATCCTTCTTCTTCACTAAGAGCACTGGACTCGAGAATGGGCTCGTTGATGGCTTTATTATTCTCACCATCAACATTTCCTTGATGAGTCGCTCTATCTCGTCCTTTTGGAATTGCGGGTAACGATACGGGCGGACGCTAACCGGATCGCTTCCCTCCTTGAGGACAATGGCGTGCTCGTGGCCACGGCTAGGAGGTAGCCCCATAGGTTCTTTGAATACCGTCCCGAACTCTTCTATGGTGGCCTGTAAAAATTCAGGGATATCCCCCACTTTCGGCTCCTCTCCTCCACCCTCTAAACTGCTCAACTCCACTAATAATCCCCCATTGCCTTTCTTCAAGGTTCGTAACATGGCCTTGAGAGTGACGCCTGTTCTAGCCAAACTCGGGTCACCCATAAGAGTCACCGTTTCTCCCCCCGAGGAGAAACTCATCCGCTGCAATTTCCAGTTAGTCACCACCTCCCCTAATTTCTCCAGCCACCGGATGCCTAATATGACATCGAAGTTGCCCAATTGGAGGGGTAAAAAATCCTCCACCACCACCAATTGGTCGTTTAGCTTCAGGTGTACCCCACAACAAAGCCCTCGGCCCTTAATTGCCTCTCCGTTTCCCAGAGATACTCCAAAGGAGGTCGTGCCAAAAATAGGAATTTTCAACTTCTCCACCGCCCCGGTCGATATAAAATTATGGGTGGCACCGGGGTCCACCATGACCACCATCGGTGTTCCCTGTATCTCCTCGGCCAATTTAAGGGTCTTTGGACTCGTTAAGCCCACAATAGAGTTCATGGACACGACGGTTGGAATTTCCTCCTCCACCTCCGGCGTCTCCAACGCTCCAAACTCTCCCGTCTCTTCGATGTCCTCCTCCTCCACGAGCAACACGCTCAACCCCTTCGCCGTGCACACATGGGTGGGCCCGGTCCATCGCCCATCGCATTTAAAACAGAGGCCTTTAGCCCTCTTCTCCTGTAGTTCCCGTTCCGTTAGGCGTCTGACTTCGCCACTAAATTTAGATGAGTTGGGATAGGTTCGGTTTGGGTAGGATTGTGTTTGGGTTGGGTTGTTGGCTGAGGCTATAGAAGATTGTGGGGCTGAGTTGATTAATGGACTGGGGGGAGTTGGGTTTGAGTTTGAGTGGCTAGTGTTTGGGCTGGGAGTGTGTATTGGGCTGGTCTGGGTGTGGTGAGATTGAGCTGGCCCAACCCCTAGGAGAGTAGTGGCTGGGCTTCGATTGAAGTATGAATATGGCCCAGGTTTAGAGTAAACCCCGCCCGTTTTCCTGAGCCCGCTAACCCGATTGCGTTCTTCGACCCGTATAGCCAGATCCATGGCCTTCTCCAGTGTCAATGGGTTCAACATCCTAATCTCAGCCTTGATGTCTTCCTTAAGCCCATTGATGAACTGACCTTTCATAAGGCTCTCCGGGATGTCAGGAAGAGGAGACGCCTTCTCGATGAACGCGCGACGGTACTCCACCACCGTTGTTGTCTGCGCAGCGGCGAGCCACTGCTCGTGTAAGGTTCCAGCATTCACGGGTCGAAATTGGGTCAGTACTCGCAACTTAAGATCCTCCCAATTGATCACCGGCCTGCGGCGGGACTCCCACTGGTACCACCGAAGGGCGTCGCCGTCCATGGCGACCACGGCTGCCTGTAATTTCTCGACTTCGGCTAACCGATAAAACTGAAAGTATTGTTCCCCTCTCAGAATCCACCCATCAGGATCCGACCCATCAAATACGGGTAAATCCAGTTTGCGGTATTTCCAACTGCCCCGGCCGTCGTTGAAGGTGTCGTGCTGGTGGCGGAATCCCCCTCCTATTCCGGGATCCCAGTTCCCGAACTGAATTCCGTTGAACCCACCCTCGTTCCCTGGTGGTTCGTCATAACCGCCCGCGTTGAGAGGCTGTTCTACCTCATCTTCTACTGTAATAGGTTGTTTCCCAAGAGCCTTGATAGCTTTCTGAATCTCCTCCATAAATTTCTCTTGTTTGCTCGCGGCTAGGGCGTTTTGTTGATTCTGGTCACTTCGGAAACGGTCAGTGCGGCCCTCGAGTCCTTGCCGGACCTTGTCAATCCCCTCTTCTTGACTCCTCAACAGGGTCTGCTGAAGAGAGCCCTCCCCGTCTCCCAGCTTCTCGAGGATCCCTTCTACTTTCTCCTCAAGAGCGGCCACTCTCTCCGGCGTCGGAGGCATGTCGGCTCTGATACCACTTGCAACGGAATGCGTATATAAACAAGGTAATTAGAGGAAAGGTTATATCCTTGATTGATATAAGCTAAAAGCTTGCGTGAGGCGTCAATGGCTTTAGGCCATTACTCTCCAAGTTTGCCAATACACTTTTCTCAATGCCTACTTCTTTAGAGACAGCTACTATTTATACTACTACTACCATACAAAAGTTGGCAAGAGCCTTAATTACAATTTACTTTACTATTTGTCCTCTTTTGAATTTACCACAGTGAATAGCTAATAAGCCAAACGTCTGCCCTATCTGCCTCCTTATTTGCTGTAGCTGTTAGTGAGCCGTTGGTAGCTTGTTGTTGGTGTTTTGCTGCTGCCTTGGTCTCCTGCTATAAGTCAGAGTAATTGGTGGCCTTGGGTGTATTGCATTGTCTTATTTCCCAGAGGGGCAATGTTTTGATCCACGTAAAACACAAGTCCACTGAAAAACTAATACCTCAGAATGAAAGTGAAGCTGGATTGGTAATCGCAATTTAGCTGGTCAAAAGAAAGCTTAGTAGATGGCATGAAATACCAGGGCTTCCCCCATGGAATTTAGTCCTCGTTTCATTAGTCAAGTCTCTGTGTAATTCAACATAGTACATATTTGCTTAGTTGTTGGTGTGTGTTTGTTGGGGTTGGGGAGATGAGGTGCGTTGGGGTTCTGGTCAGGCAAGCATGAATCTTTCTGTATGTATGCCAAGTTGCCAACGGGATCCAACTGACATGGGAAGCATGGGGAACATCTTTATTTAAAGATACGGAGTGCTGCATCAGTAATGTCTGATGTCTGAGGACAGAATTTTCTATTCATGAGTAGTTGTGATTTATGTGATCTTTAATAGATAGTGAGCTATGTTACTCAGACTCTTCATTTCACCATAAGTACCCTTGTCAGATCCCCAGCACAAGGATATCAAGTATCGACACTTCACACTTCATTTTAATCTTTAAATTTTGGATATTCTTGATTCTTTACACAGTATTCAAGTCAGAAACTCGGTGAAGTACTCGTGTTTGACACACTTACCCCGAGTGAGTACCGTAGGTCGTAAGATGTGAGTCAAAATTCTGCTGGTATTGCTGCTAACATAAAAGAACTCAAACTGCTTTTGAGATCTAACATTCTAACCATTTTTGAAGTACTTTCATCTTTCATTTAGCATCATTAAGGTCAAAAGGTTGCAACTTTATTTTACTTACTCATGTTGTGTTTTTACCAATATTTATCCCTTTTGCTGCTGCTTCCTTTGTATAAACTAATTCCCAAATCCCAATGATATGCTTTCTCACAGGCAAACTCCTCTTAGAATCATTCATTTCACTGGGAACTTTATGCGAATATGGTCAATCTATTCCATGTACCATTATTTGTCTCAGTCAGAGTCTTCGGTTGTGCTATACATCTTCAGTTGCTTGGTTCCATCATCCATCGTCTTTCTAGTTTTGCAAAAACCTTGGAGAGGAAGGCCACTTTCCAACACACAGGTTAGGCAACAAGGAAACAGACGTATAATCTTTGTTTCCTAATACCATTTAATCTAAAATTTGGATTTTCTTACGTCTTCCAGATTGTTCCTTCTTTGATAAATGGAGCCATAACAGCTCTGTATTTCATCCTTTGGGTGAAAGGAGTCAAAGCATGTGGCCCTCTTCGGTATGATTTCTTATTGTCTACTTATGATGACTTCATTGGCAAAGATTGAAATGTGAAAAAGCCCCCCCCCCCCCGGAGTTTTTAATGTGCTTAATGTTCCCAGCTGTCATTTTTATGTAGCGCTCTCCTGTTTATTCTTCAATATTGTTTCTATATATGTTGCTTGTGACCTTTTTCCGCACATGGTATCACTATGAGACAAAGTTAATTAACAATTGCAGTTGTTCAACGCAGAGCAATTCTTGCAGAATACTCAGGTGCTGTACTTGGAGTATTATCTGCAGTTCTATATGGGCGTAGGGGTCATATCTGGAAGAAGGTAGCTTCAAGCTTCTAATTGTCTCTCATCTTATTTCCATATTTTTTTTCTTCTTCATTAAGGCAGCTTGAATTGGTAATATCATATTCTTTGATCTATCTATTGCCACAGATATTTAAGGGGTGAAAAAAAAAAAAAACTGGTCACTTTGAAGCTTGATTTAATGAATGTGATATAAAAATTGCATTTTCTTGTTGCACATTGTCTTGGGTAATATAAATTCTGTATATTTTTGTCAGGTTGGTGGACTGGTAGCAATGCTAGCTTCCCTCTACTTCTTATCTCAAGGATGGGCCATGGCCTCTTATTCTCCTTTTTATATCCTTTGGTTACATAGGCTCCTATTTCTCCCATGGGGAGGGAGAGAATATTTCCCTGGGTTTGTTTTTGATATTATCCTAGTAGTATTAAAATAAATACAAATTTGAGCTGTGAACTTAACCATAGATTACCGTCAGGAGAGAATCTGGATTCTGATGCTCAGAAGGAAAAGGTTTTGGGAATGAGAGAAATGGCTGTTCCTATGTTGGCAGGAATATTATCAGCTTTCAGAAGAGTGATTGCACGGCGTATTTCAATTAAGGTTTCTATCTACTTCAATACATATGCAGTTTAATTTGCTCAACCTGCTATTAATAAAAAAAAAAAAAAAAACTTGTCTTAATTTTCTATCTATGAATTTCAGAATCAGCTTAAGAGGCGCCTTCATGCCATTACCATTGCTTCTGCTACATGCTTCATGTTTCCTGTTGCCATGTGGGACGTGATACTGGTATTCTGAACTCAGTCTACTTTCATCATGTTCTTTTGTTTAATTTCTAGAAGTGGGAGAGTGGGAATGTTTGCTATTTGACCTTTTGGGTATAACTTATGTGCTCAATTGGATTTTAATGTATGGTATTGTTTTGTGCTTCAGGGGACAGCTCCTGATAGCAATAAGGATCTTCCCTTTTCCACGTGGCCTTACATAAGCACCATCCTTTTTGGAGTGATATTGATATCCTATGTTGAGAATATTGCAGAAGAGAGGTACCTAGCCAGCTATTCTATTATTCTCCTTATAGATATCTGCTGTTGGTGTTTGTTGTGCATAATATGTAATTAGATCTATCATATATTTAAAGTTGTGCATCCTTGAAGATGTAGACTTATATAGTGTTGGGTCTCTCAAGGTCACAACAGTTAATTGTATTTACCTTGCCGCTGTAACTTTTAGCTGAGAATCATCATTGTTCTATAGTGTCGTTGACATTATTTCTTATCTTATTGATGTGTTGGCTACAGTGTTGTGTAAAGCTCTAAATTAGTTTTTTTTTTTTTTTTTTTTTTTTTTTTTGTGTGTGTGTGTGTTTGGGTCTGTACCTACCCAAAAGAAGGCCTGATGTTTAAGGAGCTTCCTTTGATGTGATGATTAAAAGTCAAGTCACAGTTTGGAAGGATGAAAGGAATAGATTTTTGCATTATGTCATGATCTTGATATGAAATACAGCATAGTGTTCATAAAAATCTCCCTTACTTTCCTTTCTGATAATTACTCAACTTTTCATCAAGGAGCTTTAATTTGACCTAAATTTAAGTTTTGCTGAATACCATGTTTTGATAGCTGAAAAGTGAAAAAAAAAATTGCACTTTGAAGCTGTCCTGTTTGTTTGCTTTCACTTCTCCAATAACTTACCATTGTATTTTTCAAGAAAATGATCTCTCTCTTGAATAGTGGCATGTTTCTGTAAAAGTTTCTTGTTCTTAACTAGAGTGTTTTTGAATCCTTGCTCTAATCTCTGTGTACTGGTGGAGCTATAAATATGAATGATGAAATCCTTGTGTCTGTGTAGGTTGCACATGGTGTTTTCATCTCCTAAACACCTTATGGTAGCTGGAGGATGTATCATTGTATTGGAGATTTTGTACAAAATGGATTTCTCTCTGGCAGGATTCATTATTTGCTGCGCACTTCTGGGTTTTGGTATGTGTTATAACTTTTTATTAAATGTTCAAGTTTTAGTAGTAAAGGATGTTGCAGGAACTCTAATAATGATATCTAGAAGTCAAATCGCTTTGATTAGGAGATCTTGAGCTTTGAAGTTATAGAAAGGTCTTTATTTATTGGATATCACCAATTTGGTTGACTTATAGGCAGTTTTGTATTTCCTCTTAGTAACAAGCATATCTCGATTCTCATGTCTTGCTAATTGCTATCAATAAAACTTGCTATCAGTAAACATGGTTTTTGTTCTTGCTTATACCAGCTTTCTTAAAATATATTATGTTATAATGAGTTGATGTCTGGCTTGTTTAGAGGATGAATTCAGTAGACAGTAGGTGAATCTTTGCTTCTGCTCAAGATCGATGCTGTTTTTCTTCCTTGGAAAATTGTATGGCTGCATTCCCAACTATGCATCCCCTATTTTTAAACAGTCCCAACTATGGCCCCTCATTTTTAAACATTCCAGTCCCAATTATTGATTAACTAAAGGCACTCTTAACGATTAATTAACTATTTAGCCTAGAATAGTCCCAACTTTAGAAGTGTTTTCTGATTTCTAAAACTAGCCTTTTGCAAGCTTATTTATTACATCTCTATGCTATGCGTCAGTTTAGGGAGTTTCCTTTTTACCTTTCAATAAAATATAGATAAATAAAAGAATAAATTAGGCTTTACAATAAAAATATTCTTCAATATCAGACATGGTAGAGACAAATCAATTTATTTCATAATAATTATAAGTAATAAAGGGGAAAACTAGAAAAAATAATTTATCATTATACATCAACAATCCATGATTAATCAAGTAATTAAGTATATCTTAAATAAATCTTTGGTAAAATTTGATGTTACTTATGGTTTTGATATAGAAAAACGTGCTCCGAGTCAAACCATTCCCATTCCAATTGTTAAAAAAATCAGGACAACTTTGTAAATTAATGGTCATTATCTTTCTATATTTGTTACTACTTTGTACATCTGTTCAGATTTACTCAACCTATGCATGACTTCTTCTAGTTAAAATTAAAACCTACATACTCTAAGTTGTTGTACATGCTTTTTAATTCCATATTTCCATGCATATAGAACTAGTGCGAAACACTTAATAGGTTAATAAAGGGAGAGAGAAATTGAGATTGAATAATTCTTAAAAGAAAAGAGGGGAGAGGGGGGGGGGGTTGACTTGTTCTACTAGGGATGGCAACGGGTCCAGGTTCAGATCCTGTTGGGCCCTACCCTGACATGCGGGTATGGGTCCAATTTTGTTAGACCCTGTGGGTTCGGGTAGGGTATGGGTCTAGGTGGTATCAGGTAGGGAATTCAGACCCTACCAGACCTTACCTGTCATCCCGTCATACCCAAACCTGTTCAATATATTAATTAATAAATAAAACTCAATGTAAGAAACTCACAGGCGCCCACTTTCATAGTTGAAAGATTTGTCAAATTAATTCTAATGTTTTCACGTATTAGTGTTTTTTTTTTCCCCCGTGCTATATGCAATCGTACACTAAAAAATGGCGATTAAAAATTACAAGGGAAAAAAAAGGTAGAGGACCCTGCTAGACCCATAGGGTTCGGGTAAGGGTCTAAACATTTTATACCCTAAGGTCCGGGTAGGGTGTGGATAAATATTTACGGGTACGGGTATTACTATACCCTGCCCAGACCCTACCCATTGCCATCCCTAGTTTCCACAGATTATGAGGCATGTGAGGTTGTCTTTGGAAAACACTCCAAATGTTCCCCACACTCTTAGCAAACAAGGTAGGTATTGCTAATTCCAGCAATTTTCTCCAGGCACTAGGCCTTGATATCTTGCTCGTGTTTCATGTGCTTAAGAAAATTTGTTATATATTAGTTTTTGGTGTGTGAGGGGGAGAGGGGGGGGGGTGGAGGGAAGCTTTGCTCCATCTTTTATTTCTGGTTATCTATATAGTTTGAGGATTAAAAGGGTTTTATTCCTAGTTTTGAGTCTGACAAGTTCATTGATTGTTGTGCACATAGAGAGACAAGAGTTTTGTGCTTTTAATTGTCTCTTTATCTTTAAACTATTACTTACTGTCTACACTCTACAGGGATATATGAAGCAACTTCTTTGGAACGTCCAAGGCAAGATCATCAAACTCTAGAACCTTCAGAGAATTTATTTGAGGAGGATCAGATTCAGATGTCATCACTGCCAACTTAAAGTATGATCGCGTTGGAAGTTCACTAGTCAGCTAAGATGTGGTTATATATTTTAATTGGTTTATTTTGGTGAATTGGTTTTTTGACTTGATCATATTGGAGAATGGAGTTTAAAGTGAGGGAAAGGGAAGAGAGTGTGTGTGAAGTGGGAAGTGATGCTAGGCCTTGGGTATGGACCCTGAGACTAAATGTAGGCTATGTAGGTAGTTGTTGTAATACAATTTAGTTTGAATTATAGCACAATACTGAAAAAGTATGTGCAGTGATCTCTAAATGTAAATAATACATTACAGCTGATCATTGTAGATATTATCTAGTGGCTAGCTTTGCTAACTAGTCATTTCTACTTGTGCATCCGAGATTGTATTTATTTTCTTACATTTAGTGGCTAGCTTTGCTAACTAGTCATTTCTACTTGTGCAGCCGAGAGTGTAGATACCTAATTTAAACCAGAAGAATTTAGCTGGGACTGAGAGCTTGATGTTGTAACTCAGATGGTGAATTTTCAGGAAAATGTCAGTGTTTTTTAATCTTATAAGCAAAGCTTGGAGGCTCGAAGATTGACTTGTGAGATCAAACAAGGTAAATTGATGTTGGATTGTTGGTCTGTCAATGTTGGGACTTGGGAGCTACTTGTTGGAAAGAGATTTTAGTAGTTGGGGAATATGCAGCGTATGAAGAATACAAAACTTGGCTGTGAAGCAGCATATACTCAAGTAACTCAACTGGAAAACATAATTGTAGTTAATTTTTTTTTTTTTTCCTCGAGACAATAAGGAAAAGGGAAAGTGATTTTATTTTTGCATCTCTTTCCCGTTTCTTGTATTGCAAATGTGTAGTTTAGTGATACAATCAATTCATGACAGATAACTTGTTATATTCAGTCTAATGTTATTCTTACGCGTCTCTTATGGCTAATTCTTGTCTAAAGTGCGTTATGGAGTACAGAATATTTTCTTTTTGGTTCATCGTCCTTTACCATCATCTTATATACGCACACCTCTGATGCTGATCCTACTACGTTTATCTTCATTACAGTAACAATTTCGTTGATCTGTATTGCAAAGGAGATCTTGGTATGTTGGCATGATGTATGAATGAGAAACTAAAACTTGACAGCAACTTCCTTTGCACATTTAACTACGGAGTAATACAGTAGTTCACGAAAGCCTGAAAATACAGTTCTGAAGAATTAGATAATAGTATCTGTATGTCTAGTTTTCTCAGCAGGTTTGGTCAGTGACGACGTGATCAAATGGCTTAGGATTCCAACTGGACAGAAAAGCAAACACATTGAGACTGAATGCCGGGTTTCGATTTCTTTCTGTAGACCATCATGGTAAACTTGCCTGTTCACAAAATAGGAGCGTGTGAGCTTTTAATTCAATGCCTGATTATAATAGGAACACCATAATCTAGAGTAAGCAGGGGAGAGGGAAGAAGAGACCTAGCAGCATAGAGGTCCACTACCAACAGATGAATCCATGCTGATGCTAATGTCATCTCACTGGAAAACATTTTCGCTATACCTTGCAGCTACATATCATCCATATAATGCAAAATTGTGAATATAAATTTGTTTTGTATTTGAATATGTTAATGCCAAACAAACTAACCTCGGGTAACCAGTATTTACTGGCAAACATCAAGCGTATAGTTTCAGGAGTCCACGACAGGTACAGAAGATAAGCGTACAGAAGGCCAAACACAACATATGGTATGCTACTTTTCATGGTCTTTTTTGTCTGCAGTATATTCAGTAATCATACTGTCATACACATAATAGAAGAGCACAAAATAAACACTTTCCTTGGTGTAACATTCATTTAGACTATTTAACGATGACTGTTACACCAAGAAAAAATTTCATACATAGTTCAGTTAGTTCAGAGAAGTTACAAGTTCAGCTTTCGGAGCAACAACCATAAGAGTGTAAAACGGGAGGACAGCTGCTGTCCCTATGGTAAATGCACTGGTAGCAATTTGAGGATCCGGCAACCCTGAGATAACAAGCAAAGTATGCTGCATTGGGTTAAAGGTCGAACCTGAGATTATAAACTCGAAAAGGATAAAAACTGATAATCACATGTTACAGGCTTTGAGCAAACCATCATTTTCAGGATTAAGAAGAGAAATCTTACAAGAATAGCATACTCCAGAATTCTTCCGCGAAAACACAAATTTGTTTACTTTCGGTCTAACATCAATTCTAAGCCCTCCAAGGAAACACCAATCATGCTTTACATCAGGTCTTAGCTTAGACACTTGCTGGCTATAAATTTCAGTGCTTACACCCTGATGAGAAAGAGCTAAACTTGGACTTAATCCTGCCTTATGATGGATTTTATGTACTAAAACTCGGCAATCAATCTACATCAAACAACCTTAAATCATAAAATTGGACGATATTAAAGAATTTGAGGGAGATTTCACTGTAATCATTCAGTATATATTGTTGTTCTGACACTTAAACACTGGAACATTAACAATGCATCATTTTTGCCACTGATTTATAGAGGATTAGAGGCAGTTAAATCTTTGTTATTTTTCAGCTTTCAACCAACTTTTCAACTACTTTGCATGCAAACCAAGCATATATAGCATAATCAAATAAATCAATTGGGTGAATGTTCTGTTTTTAATCACCAAAAAATGCTCATGAATTATTCAGAAACCAAAAATACATACTAAAAGGAGTTAATTTGATCAACACCCAGATGAAATTCAGCAAAATTATCAACAAATGATGATGCAAACAGCAAAAAAAATCAAAACTTTGAGCACAACATCAGAAACAATTGAATTCAAAGTTTGATAATTGGGATATAAAATTGAAGTCAATTAAAAAGCTTAAAACTCAAAAAAAGAAAGTGGGTACCTTGGAAGAAGAGATCTGGGGATGAAAGGCAAAGCAGGAAGAAAAAGCCATACCCAAAAAAATAAAAACAGCACTAATTCCAAAAGACCCAGAAAGTATAATGAATTGTGAAGTTAGCAAAAATGAAGAAAATTAGAACCCACTTATACATTTATGATAAAATTATAGCTTAAATATAGAAAACTGTGAATTAATATTGACATAATCATGATTCATGAAAAAAAGGAAATGGGTGATGAAAGTAGATAAACTTCCTCCCATTAGAGGAAAAAAGAAGGGTAGGCTGGCAATGGCATGTTGTTAGGCCCTGGTAAGGTAAGTGCTCCACTGACTAAAATTGTCATGACTTCATCTAAATTGTTGATTTTATGACTCATACTACTGCTCATTCAGTCATTCCCATGTGGGCTCCTTTTTGTTTGCTTGTCTCTTCTTTTTTTTGTGCTCATTTTTGGGATTTTTAAGTTGCTTGCTTATCATATTGATACTCCCCATGATTTTTTAAAAGTGAATTATTGCTTCCTGGTGCATATCCTAATGTTAAACTTTGACCAATAATTTAATGATAAATAAAAATTATAACAATTGAATGTTAGTAATAGATTATTCATTAAAACGTTTTTAATAAGTATTCACTGTTATATTTGTTTCTTATGTATAAATCACTAATATTAGCCAACGTAATTTAGTTGAATAGTGCAAAATGTCGAAACATTTTATTCTAAAATTAGAGTGAGTAATTGTTTAGTACCTAGGTAAATATGGGGATATACTAAGCAATAATAATGCCTTTTCTTAACATATTATGTTTGTATTCGTACTAAGTAACAAATTGGTTGTTTGACATGGTATCAACAATGGTATGGTAAGAATAAATGAATGGGATTTGGTTTAGGTTTTTTATGTATTGATGAAGAATTTTCAACACCATAATACGATCCCGAGATGCTACGTTGGTGATCATCTCTTGCGGCTATTGATTATCAATGCAATTGAATTTGAACTACACTCAATTTCATGACTTTATAGACCAATTGGTTGACATTTTATTGTTTCAAATCAATTTATATGACCTCGAGAAACATTCCTTGCATTCACTTAAATTTGGAAAAAAATAATCTTGAAATTGGTCAAAAATCGTGGATTATAGCCTTTAGTTTTGGATGATTTTCGACTTTTCCAAACTCAAACAGAAAAGAGGTTGGGGAGCTTTCCATCAACCCCACGGGACCTCAAGGGGTCATTTGGGTGATTGAAATTGTTCACTTTGCCTTAAAAATGTCATATTTTCCTTTTTTGTGACCAACTTACCAAGCTTCATTAATTCAGGCCATCACGAGCCTTTGGGTGACTGACTAATTGATCTGATTTCATGTATCTTAGCCTTTAAATTTGGTTTCCACACAAACAAATGAACCTGATAAGATTAAGCATCGAGGTGCTCCCTAAGATTCCCCAGTCCACTTGGTGTTTGAAACCCTCTCTTCGCTTGATGTTGGGCCAACCTGTGTAAGGGTCGTCCAACAACCCAACTTATGCAAAGAAAATTCCTAAACTATTAAAGGTCATGAGGTTCCTATGCTGCCGCATTTCACGATATAGCTAGTTTGTTTGTTTCGAAAAAGGAAATTTTTCATTCAATCATATTACAAACATATAAATCCAAGAATTTCTGGGGCACCCGGTATTTAGGCTAAAAAAATAAATAAATAATCAGGTATGCAACATAGTACTGCATATTCTAAATACCGCCTAGGCGCCTATTACTTGACATTATTCTATTTATATTTTTTTTTTGCTCCTCCCCTCCGCTTCATTAACCCTCTACGCACGTTCTCTACCACCACCGCAACCATTCAGGGCTCACCGCCACTTAAAAAGACATGAAGCAACTTAATTTGATTTTAAAACAACACATTATATTTGTTCTTTTGGCATTGTAAGAATGGTAACAATCACAATGGACTTAATTGTGGATGGTCAAGGTAAGGACTTGGACTAAGAAGCTAGATTAGTATATTTCATCACATATGTCAAAGACTACACCCACCCCCCCCCTCCCTTTGGAAAAGTAAAAAATACATTAATTCACACTACAACACTGGAAATTGATTTTGGCACAATGTGAAAAGAGCATAGAAAACTGTGTTCTCATAAAGGTGTGCCAAAACCAATTTAGGTGTGCCAAAATCATTTCCCTAGTAGACTAGAGTTAAGCCAAGAAAATATCCAACAAAACATTTTACTGCTTCAAATATTTATTGCATATTCACCTGAAAATTTCAATAGATAACAATGCTTCTAGCACCAAAACTTTTCAAAGCCTGTGATTTTTCTTTTGTACAGAACAAATACTGCTTATAAAAAATATTTGTTTTCCTTTATTTTCTTCATCAGCTCTGATTAACGTCGTTCTTGCTGTGGTCATCTAACCAGGAGATGATATCATCAAATACGCGAAAAATAACATCATCTGGCTCCCCTTCAAGAAGTGAATGGTAAGCATCCTTGTAAAGAATAAGATTTTTGTCTTTGCTGCTTGCCTTCTCATACAATGCCTTGCTAACTGATGGATCAGTTACTACATCAGCCTCTCCATGTAAGATCAACAACGGCAATGAGACCTATTCAATTATCAACAAGAGAACCAATCTGTCAGATTACAAAATATACTCAATGGCCTACTCTTTTTGTAAGCATAATACTAGCTGGAGGACTGGAATCTCATGGAAGTTGCAAAGTGATATGTACATCAGTGTTTGTACAAAAATCAATAGGATCCATCAAAATTTGCACGCAGTAAATGTCATTTTATTTCTCCTAAAAAAGCACACCAGTTTATTTTATAAAATATATAAGATTACAAGACAACAGAAATCACTTACTTCTTCCAGTCGACGAGCTATCTCATCTGTTGTGTGAAGCAGCTCAACAGCTGTCTTCAGACGTGGTTTATCCTTGTAAGCAACGACATTATAGCCTGCCTGAACTCAAGAATGCGACAAAAATATATTTAGTGTTCTGTACTAGTGCCAAGAGTTAGGAAAATGGGATGCAATAACAATTTGGAACAACCGAGGGGGAAAAGAGTTGGGAGAGGGGTGGGAGGTTACCGTTTCTTTCTTCTCACGGAATGCCAAATCAGCTAAATCTTTTTGTGGAACCATTTTCGATTTGGGAAGAAACTTTGCTATGGTAAGTAAAATTTGGACCACAATAAATGGGGGGTACATGTCATCTGCAATCTACACAAGAGGAGAAGAAAAAAAAAAAGGCAGCAATTGTCAATAATGCACACAGGTTTAATAGCACTATGTATATGTTGATGCTTGTAAGAATTTCATGAAAGAAAAGTACTTTGCACATGGGTGCCAATAGAACAGCACCATTCCAAGCATTGGGTTGCTTAAAGTGCACCTTTAGAGCCACAGCCCCGCCCATTGATTGTCCAAACAAAAAGCTTGGACGGCCACGAAACTCTGGTCTTTCTGCTACAGAAAAATAAGTGGTCAGCAGCTTATATATAGGCAATACAGCTAGAAATTTGTGAAGGAAATCAGATGGTTCCAGTCAGTGATTATCCATTAAAGAATCGCATTGAATTAGTTATCCATATAGACCCCATGAATAGACGAAGCAAGAAAATGATATCAACATAACATTGTATTAATTATCACAAGATAAGGAACATTGTCATAAACATTATCCTGACTTGACAAGGGGACCGTTGTAATATTGTATTGATTATTCATATAGAATAACAAGAAAGAGATTCTGAAAAAAAAAAAATGAGATAATTGTAAATTATTGCAGAAAAATGTGCTTTTGATTGAACTCATAGGAATCTCTGATGAGAAAAGATAATTTCACAACCAAAACTTCAAACACGTTTCATAGGAATTTTGACTCTGTAACTAAAAAGTTGCAGACGATAAAGATGAGAATGTTCTGTTTTCTACTTCGCCAATATGATATCCAAGAAAAGAAAGAAAAAGAAGGCTGAAAGGGAAGAATCAGAAAAATGAGTAAATTAACAAAATTACGAGTGACAATGAAGATCAGAATGTTTTCGCTTTTTCTCCACCAAAATGATAATCAGTTAATGAAAGACATGTCACGAGGGTGAAAAAGAATCAACGAGCAGAATGATTTATTCTCTTTCCATTGAACTCATCAGAAAGGCCTAAATGTACAAGTGTCATCCTGTATTGCTTAATGCTTATAGCATATTATGATGGAATCTCTTTTGGCCAGGTCACCTTCGACCTTTCAATACACTAAGTTAGTAAGGCAAGAACTGATTATGGGATGCAAACATCAACATGAAGCACCAAAAATTTGTCAAAACCAGCCAAAAGATCCAGGCAATACATTAAGGAAAAAAAATCCTTTGAAGAGTGCCATATTAGTGTCCATAATTACCTTTAACTTTGGAATAATACTCGACCACATCATCAACGAGCTGATCAAAGCTTTCAATATAGCAATGAAGACCATCTGAAAGGCCAAAACCTGGATAATCCATTGCACAAACCCCATATCCAGCTGATGCCAGCTTTCTAGCAATTCCTGCAAACTAACAAAGTAGAAAGATTGAACTTTTACCATCAAGATAATTTTCTATTTTAATTATGAAAATTTGTGATGAATAACCCAAATATTAACCCAACGGGAAGGTACATGCCTTCGAAGAAAAATGAGCAAGTGTCTCCATAGCCATGACAATAACAAATTAATGCTTTTGGAGGAGACGACTCTGGCAGCCAAGTTTTGGTGAAAATTTCCAAACCTCTTGAATTCTTTTCATACTTCTGTTCAATGAAAAAAAAAAAACAAATTAACTTCACTTACATAGAACATTGCACACAGAAAAAGGGAGTATTACATCAAAAAGATTATACAGCCAGAGGAGGGGATGTCATTTTTTGGATTCTATTTTACAAGTACTTTCCACCAGTGTAAACTGACATAGTGACATGAGGGTACAATGACTGCGATCAATCAGCCTACCACTTACAGCTTGCTACCCCTTTGCTCAGGCCCTAAAAATTCTAGTGTGTGTAGCTTACATGTTCTTAGTTAGATTAAAGCAGCAGCAGCGAAACACTCATGTTGGATTTTTTGTCCGCAAGATCAGATTTCATATAGGCTGGCTCACCATTAAATTAACCAAGACTATCAAATCAAAACGTTTTTTGCAAAAAGACACAAAATTGTTTAAGTTATAACTATTACACAAGTGCGAAAGCTTGCTGTAAAATTAGTAGTTAAACTTAAACATATACTATTATACTAAACAATAATCAAGACGCTCAACTTGGATTGATAATTATATATTAGC